CCTATTCTGAGAACTAGGATCATCGAGCTTCCTCAACAAGGCCTCGTCCAGGTCATTGTCCGACACGAAAGCAGCGGCATTGAAGACGGCGTACCAGCGCAGCAATTTGGACTTGGCACTCCCCTGGTCAACTACAGAATATCGGAGTCTTCTTTCTCGTGGAGTATTCACCACTCTCTCTATGATGGATGGTCTGAGCCCCTCATCTTCGACTCTTTGATCAGAAGTTACCGGTCGGAGCCAATTGAAGATGCTGTTCCTTTCCAGGCCTTTATAAAGTATATCCAAGACTCCAACGGAGCCGGGGCGAAGGAATTCTGGGAAAATCAGTTCCAGAACTTTAACGCGCAGAATTTCCCCATCCTTCCTTCGAAGACTTACAAGCCAAGATGTGACCAGCGTTTGGAGATCGACATCAAGGACATCATTTCTGATGACGACTACACAGCAGCCACGAAGATCAGGCTTGCCTGGGCCATCTTGTTATCGACAGTCACTAACTCTGCAGATGCTTCGTTTGGTGCAACGGTATCTGGTAGACAAGCGAATGTACCCGGGATGGAGAATATTAGTGGCCCGACAATTGCCACAGTACCGCTAAGAGTGGCAATCGATCGCTCAAAGACTGTAGAAGAGTTACTTCAACAAGTACAATTGCAGGCTGCAGATATGATGCCGTTTGAACAAACCGGGCTTCAGCAAATACGACGTATCAGCGAAAACTGTGATCTCGCGTGTCAGTTCCAATCACTTATGGTTATCCAAACCGGACGCAACCAGGATGCGGAAGATATTCTATTTGAATCTTCTTTCGTAGAACCCGAAGCTGAAGGCCTTGACCCCTTCAGAAACTATGCCATTCTCCTGGAGGTCCTTCTTAAGCCAGAAAGCATTTTCCTTCGCGCTGACTACGACTCCAACGTGGTGTCTCCATCCCAATTCCGTCGTCTCGCGGACCGATTTGAGAACATCTTGAGGCAAATCTCCTTACCTGAAGTCCAGGACAAGCCTGTTTCTCTACTTGACACAAGTAGCTTAGAGGACTTGAAGCAGATCTGGAGCTGGAACGACACTTTTCTAGAGAAAGCCGAGAAAACGATTCACGGCATCTTTGGAGAAATCGCCGCGCAACAACCTGATGCCCCAGCTGTCTGCTCATGGGATGGTGATTTCACTTATGCTGAACTAGATGGCATATCCACGCGAATTGCCTACGAAATACTCCGGGCTGGTCTTCCACAATCCGGCCAGCGTATCGTGCCATTATTCTTCGAAAAGTCAAAATGGACATCTGCCTCCCAACTTGCCGTCATGAAAGCTAATGGAACTTGTGTTACGCTTGATGCTTCCCTTCCTGTTGCTCGTCTGCAGACTGTTATGGACCTCACTTCGCCCCAAGTCATCATAACTTCCGCTGAGCAGGAATCTCGAGCACGAGAAGTAGCCCCATCGACCGCACATATTATAGTAGTGAGTGATACCCACGTGCCTGCTTTTGAAGTCCCCGAAGATCCATCTCTACCCAATGTAGACCCGGAAACCTGGCTCTACGTGGTCTTCACCTCCGGTTCAACGGGTGTTCCCAAGGGTGCGATCGTCAGCCACTCCAACTTCGCAAGCGCAATTAAATATGGTCGAGAGGCGCTCAGATATAGCCCCGAAACTCGCACATATGACTTCTCATCTTACGCCTTCGACGCCTCCTGGCTTAATGTGCTATACACTCTTTGCGGGGGTGGATGTCTCTGCGTCCCATCTAACTACGAAATTCAAAACGAACCCAAGGAAGCAGTTGCTCGCAGGGGTGCGAACTCGGCGCTCATGATCCCCTCGGTTTCCCGATTTATGCACGGAGTAGACTTTAAAGTTATCAACTTCGGTGGTGAAAAACTAGGGCGTGACGAGATTGACTATTGGAAAGATCATGCTATCCTCCTTCACTCTTACGGTCCATCTGAGTGCACGCCCATTGCGATCCATGCCACACTTGATCCCGCACGTGAACGCATCGTTATTGGCAAGGCCCTCGCGACGCGGATTTGGATCGTCGAACCAGAGCGTGGCCACTCATTGGCAGCTGTCGGTGATATCGGCGAGCTTTGGATCGAAGGACCTACTGTCGGCCAAGGTTATCTTAACGAGCCGGAGAAAACGAAAGCATTATTTGTAGAAGATCCGCAATGGCTTGTACAGGGTTGCCCTGGATACCCCGGCCATCGTGGACGTCTGTACCGTACAGGTGATCTTGTTCGATACGAAGAGGATGGTAGTGTTGAGTATATTGGACGAAAGGATGCCCAGATCAAAATTCGTGGACAGCGTGTCGAGCTTGAAGAGATCGAGCATCACGTCCACGATGCTATCGGAAAGGATATTGCTTCTCAAGTCATTGTGGACATTATCAGGTCATCTGGTTCTACTGAAGCTGCTCTAATTGCCTTCATCAAGCTCTCTCAGGGGGAAATTGTTTCTAGCACACCGGAAGCGTACGTCTACGCGCAGGAGCTTGCCTCTTCTGCTAATCGTCTCCTGTCTGCCACAGTACCAGGTTACATGATTCCGAATGGTTATATGATCGTGGATAATATTCCGAATACAGCATCAGGAAAGGTTGATCGTGGCAAACTGCGCGAAGCCGCTTTAGCCATGCGAAAGGAGGATCTCCTTCGTGTAGACAGCATTGGAAGACGTGCACCAGAAACCCCTAATGAAGTCAAGCTCCATGCTATCGTTGCTCGAGTACTTTCTTGGAGTGGAGAATCTTTTGGCATGGATAATAACTTCATCCAGCTTGGTGGCGATTCTATCAGCGCCATGAGACTGGCCTCAATCGCCCGCGACGAAGGAATCCCCCTGACGGTCGCAGATATCCTTACCAAAGACCGGATCGCTGATCTTCTCGTAACGGTTCCCGAGGCCACCCTTGTTAGTGAAACTGAACAATCGCTTTTTGGCTTGCTAGATGTTCCAGATCTTAGAGCTTTCATTGAGGAAGAAGTGATACCACATATTCTACCGGGCCGTGGAAAACTTATTGATGTTCTTCCAACAACAGATATGCAATCTGCCTACCTCGAAGATAACCTTGTTACACCCCGACGGTCTTGGTTCTACAGCTATATTGACTTTGACCAAATTGCAGATGAACAGCGCCTTATCCAGAGCATCGAAAAACTGGTTGAACACTGTGACATCTATCGAACAGCCTTTATTCGCTCTGGGGATTCCTTCTTCCAGGCCGTCTTTGACTCGTGGAAGCCTACCATCAACGTTATCAGTGATGTGGATTCTGCCGAAATTGCTCTTGACAAGGTCATAGAAGAAGAGACCAACTCACCCGTTTCTCTAGGAGCTCCATTGATACAATTCACACTTATCAAAGAGAAAACTGGAAAATCCAAGCTCGCCTTTGGCAGGTCACACGCGGTTTATGACGGTATCAGCATTGGTCAAACCTTGAAAGTTTTGACCGATATCTACAATGGCTCGATTCCGGAGATCAAAGACTTCAGACAATATGTGAACCATACCCAATCAAACAAGGCACGGACTTACTCTTATTGGCGCAAGGCCCTTGAAAACTCCTCGATTACCACACTACCTTACGGCCCGACGTCGCCCGCTCAGGACGGTCCGCCTATTGTGCTTAAGCGCTCTATTCCTACACCTAAAACTCCCTCTGGAATTACACAAGCCTCCCTATTCACGTTAGCCTGTGCCACTGCACTTAGTCGTCTAACAGGATCCCAAGACGTTGTTTTCGGCCGTGTTGTCTCTGGACGCGCAGCCGTTCCTCCTTCCCTTCAGGATGTCGTTGGTCCTTGTCTGAACCGAATACCTGTCCGTGTACAGTTTACTCCGGGTCAGACCAAACACGAACAGCTTGCAGCTCTACAGAAGCAGTATGTTGAAAGCATTGCACACGAAACTACCGGTCTATTGGACATCGTCAAGCACTGCACGGACTGGCCGCAAGACACGAAAGATTTCGGCTGCTGGTCGCAGTACCAGAACATTGACGAGAACCCCGAACTAGATCTTCCCGGAGCGAAGGGCGGATTAAGAAGTCCAGAAATGTACCATATTCCGTTTGCGGCCAACTTCTTGGAGGTCTTCGCAATCCCGAGCAGCGATGGCACGCTCACGGTGAGACTCATCGCAGGATCTGGATATACGGAAAATGTAATAAACGAGTTGATTGAAGGAGTTTGTTCGGAATTGACGGATGTATTCTGAGGATAGAATGCATGATACTACAAGTCAGAACAGGCCAGATCCTGTGAAGGCTTCTGGAGTCTACAGATTTGTGGTCATTGCACCAGCAAAGTGCAATAGCACACATGTATTATGGCAATTTCTAAATTGCTCTTAAATTATTCCATGTTCAGATATTTACCTATATAGCTAGGAACTGCCCCAGGAGGCCGTACTGGGTCGTATTATTGTTGATGCCGTTCTAGGCAAATACAGCTACACGCTCCAAAATAGGGGCTCCGGGGTTCCCTAGATTCGTTAAAAACAGGCTACGCTCCCCGGAGGAATCAGTACATAGAGATTTGTCCAATGAGATAGTTAATTCTGGTCATTTTCTCTATGTATATAGAAACATAGAATATCCGAATATGACTAGATACGGACTACTTTTCTGTCATCTTCTACGCGGTGAAGCATAGTTCCATGGCTGCCTCCGCCTTCGGTAGATGTGATGATATCCAGACTCTTCACCCGTCATATATCGTTTCCGCAGCTTTTCAAGTCGAGATATCTGGCTCAGTCCTGCCGGCGTGCATATATAAAACTTGTAGAATATCACGCTATACATCGTATAAGCCCTAGTCTCAGTAGGCATGCAGCTCGTCTCCGGTAGGAACCTCCTCTCCACACGGGATACATTATGCACAGCGTCTTCGGCCAGGGCCGAGGTCAAGGGGCATTCCCGATGGCAGAATCCCTCCAGCGAATGGTAGAAGGTAACGTTACTAGCGCTGAGTGAATTTGTAGGATATCTTGTGAGACGATTCCCATAAGTATGACTTCCCATCTATCTTCAACCATAATATTTCCATATAATCTTGACTCCTCCTTTTTTTCAAAAACATCCCTACATTATCATACACCATCATAGCAATGACTTTAAAAGTTCACCACCTCCAAGTCTCTCAATCTGAGAGGATAGTCTGGCTCGCTGAAGAGCTGGGCATCGACTACGAACTGGTGATCCACAAGCGCGATCCGTTCCTCAGTCCTCAGTCTATCAAGGATCTCAACCCCATCGGGCAGGCGCCAGTAATCCAAGATGGATCTCTTACGCTCGGAGAAAGCGGTGCCATTACAGAGTACATAATACAAAAGTACGGCAATGGTAGACTGGCCCTAGGCCCTGACCACAAGGACTGGGCGCAGTATCTCTACTGGTTCCATTTCGCCAACGGCAACCTACACCCTCAAATGAGCCGTGTGATGGTATTGAAGCACTGCCACGTGGACGAGAGCGAGCCTCACGCTCAGCGCCATTTTTCGCAACTAGTGAAGTTCCTCAAGTTCTTTGACAGCCACGTCAAGGATAACGAGTGGCTAGCTGGCACTGAATTTACAGCCGCTGACATCATGAACGTCTTTCCCCTCACGACCATGAGAACTTTCTTCCCGTACGACCTCTCAGAGTACCCCAATATTCTGAATTACCTCAAGCGCGCCACCGAGCGCGAAGGGTATAAGAGGGCTAGGGCGAAGGGCGATTCTGAGTTACCGCTCATGATCGACGGCAAGCCACCAGCACAGTTCTTCGATAAGCTCAAGGCAGAGGGCAAGATTTAGAGCGCTCGAACGCAGATCAAAGTCCAATAAGTTTAAGGGTCGATTTCATACGACTCGGAGGGGGACGTATAATCAATGGAAATTTTAAAGCCCATAGTCCCATCTAGTGAACCAGTCATTTGGTAACTAAGATCTGGAGAATATTAGATAGCAACGTCGAGTGTCAAGTAAAAGACCTTATAAAAATAAATTACGTTAAATGAACCAAAGGTTTCTGAAAATTACTTTCATTTTAAATATGTCTTACTAGAAAATGTACCTAAATCCCAAATGACTTGAGACAAGCGTAAGCAAAACTCCAAACTTATCAACGAGGAGAGTATTTCATAAACCCCTGACACGATTTTAATAGACACCTGAAGAGCTGTGCCTGAGCGACATGTATTATTCGTTTAAGCTAGCTGATCGATCATTTAAGTCAGCTAAAAATTGTATCTTCACTGTCTATCTAAACTTACGAGGACCCGCGATATCTCAAAATGCCCTATAGAAGGGTATGTTAGCCCCGTAGGGTTTTGGCTGCCTATCGCGCTAGAACCATCGGTCGTCGTCGTCGCACCAGAATCCATTATGTTGGTACATACCAAAGCAAGGCAGGTGACCAGTGCTCGTTCAGCCCCATACCATAATCGCAATAAAGGACCGCCTTCAATCAAGCATAGATCCTGTGGGTAGCGAGGGTGGGTCGGTGGATTCGAAATCCTTTGCTGTTAATTTGTATGTACTTCGTAGGATGTATAATAGGTAGATAGGTACGGATATCTGCAGTGAGTGTCTAGGTAGTTAGTATAACCGCCACCGCTACATAGCGAAATGCCGTCGGTATGAGTAGACCTCTGGGGAATGGACATATAAGGCTAACCCTAGACTTCTGAGGCATGTAAGCACTTACATATATGGTTAGGATGATTCCTAACTAATATCCACAGTTCTGACCGTACACTACCTATCTCGGGAACCGTAACGGGCCCAGCCGCCGCATATACTCGTCGTAAAAGTACAAGAAGATAACATGTCACATTATTCAGGTAATATTGTATGATACTACGGTAGTATTTTTTGCGGACCGTCAGAGTTGTCTTACCTTCATCCTTGATATAGATTAAGTCCATGGGAGGTGGTGATATGAAAACTTAGATGGCATTTGCCAATTCAGTAGGCGAATAACGTGCTACAATGCAGTCATCCTCATTCAATGTCTATGTATCTCAAGGTGGACTCACGGGCTGGTAGTGCGGCGTATGTCAGCAGATCATTATGGAAATAGCCCCGATTCGTTCCCCTGATCTTCAACCCCTGTACATAATGTTACCCCTCCGGCCCTCCGGGGGCGTAAGCTAGCAATAAATCACCCCTGAAAACATCAAGTAGACAGTTGGTCGAAGGAACGGGAGGGGGTATGCATTACTCTTCGTCGAAAACAGTGACCCTTTCTGCCCGAATGAAGCTACTGGCTACTGCTGCACCCGCCATCAATAACGCCATCGTCACAAATGGTAGGCCCATCCAACTCCATCCTAGCTCTAGACCCGTTACCAACAACGCACTCAGCACTGGTCCTATCACGCTTCGGACCACGATACTCAACATATGCGCTGCACTGTAGACTGCGCTCACCTGGCTGGGCCGCACCGCTCCACCTAGCAAACTCATCAGTAGCCCCGTAGAACAGCTGCCAACTGCCACAAACAGAAGGCCGAGGGCCTCGATAACCAAAGCCGGCGCAACACCTATAACCATCAAGCCCAATGCCGTTGCGGCAATAGACATGATGGCATATAGGCGGTCGCGCGCCCAAGCGGACCAGCCCCGTTTATCAGCGATTAGACGCGTGATCAGTGGGAGGATGGTGAGAACGAATAGGCCTTGTGCACCTTGAAAAAGTGATAGAAGTACGTTGCCACGAGCGTATGAGAGTGAGAATTTAGCGTTGGTATACTGCAAGCCGATTAGAGTAAAAAGCTCCCGAGCTCCAGTCTGGGGGGAGAAAATCAGAAGGAGTAACAGAGCTTGTCGGTTCGATGCTAGCACACTAAGTAAAGGACTTAGTATGTTAGATGCTTCTCCAACGATAGAATTAGACACTTTCGTAGGTGTCGGTGATTCAGAACGCAGCGAGTCCGTGGTTTGCGGCGATGTAGAGTCAGATAGTAGTGCAGAGTGCTCAGTAGACCCCTTCCTTAAGTTCAGCGTCTCCGGAATAAATATCGTAAGCAAAAACGCGCCAGAAAAAAGCGTTCCCGCAGCTAGTAGCAAAACAATCCAAGTATGTCCTTTTTCCATCAGCGGGCCACTGATAGCAGGCCCGAAGAAGCCCGAAATCACGTCGGCAGCGTGAAGATACAAGAAAATCTGGGCGCGTTCAGCATCATCGGCAGTGTCAGTAACCATGACATGCAAAATGGTGGAAATAACGGCATCTCCACCGCCGAGGAACAGAAAGGCACCCGACAGTAGAGCCCAGCGGATAGAAGCAAACCGCCAGTAGCACACAGCGAGTACCCAAGAAAGCGCAGAAAAAACACCAGCACCGCTCATGATGAGCACGCGCTTACGGCCAATACGCTCCGCAAGCAGCCCATAAGGCACAGTGCACAACAGCGACGGGAAGATGGGAACCAGTTGCTGAAAGCCGCGAACGAGGGCAAGTTCCTTCTGTATAGGCTGCGCCTTGCAAGGATTGGGTAAGGTACCATTAGAGGCCGGAGGTAGTGAGTTTGTCTTATAGTAGTCGTCGCAAATGACATTTTCGAAGACTTGAACCAGCGCCGCTGGCTGTAAATTATCTCCAAGCATCATGGTAAAGGCAAAAGCGCACAGGAGGACGATGATGCGCTGCTTATGCCTTATAGGCACAGCGTGCGGTAGTTCTGAGGGGACAGGTACATCCCTAACGACCTCGACGCTACTCCGAAGTAGGGGAGAAGACTCGTCCACATGCCGGGATTCATCGTGATCGTTGGTAATATTTGAGGAGGTCATTATGGGCAATTCATACAACCTCACAGTCGACAAAACACCAAGCCCTTAGGGGAAAAGGAAACGCGCAGACAAGTATAAGCATTCACTAAAGCCCTAAACACACGATAGCAGATAAAGATGAAGAGGGTGACGAGGTGAGGCTCAAAAAGCGGTAATAGCAAGTATCATTTTTTTACTTGATGCTTTAGGTACGATTACCTTCAATCCGAGTTGCTTTCTATTATTGATATTAAAAGCACGGTCCAATTTTGGTGACTTGTTATCTTCTTATACAGCTTAAGTACATAAATATTCTTCTCGTCGTAGGTATATATCATTATTATTGCCATATAATTCAAATACGCTCAAAATGGCCGGGCAGTCATAATATGCGTGCTTTTAATTCCAAACCGACTATGCCCGGTCAATGAATGGACAATCGTATTATACAAGAGTGATTAGTCCAGCCAAATTGTTCATAGCGCCATCAATCCACCAAGCCTTCCACTCATCCGAAAATCCCCCTATATCATAGCCTCTGCAGTCACACTGTGAGATGCCAACTCGTTGAAACTTTTTTCCTTCCACATTCTCTAGCACGAGCACAAAAAGAGATTCATCTTCCACTTTACATATCGGTATACAAGTGCCTTCGATAACTTCTGCTTCTGCCAATCTTTCTGCTCGATCTGACATGTCGAAACATATGTCCGTCCACGTGAATCTGCCGTAGCATTGTGTCTTCCCTTCGTCAATGTATAATTTCATAAGCATAGGCTTATTTTCGTATTGAAAATAGATCAGTCTGCATTTAATATCGATCTCTGCGGATCGAAGGAGACCAGTGGTATCCCCACCAGGAGGCTCTGCCACGATCCTTTCGTCAGTCACTTGTATTAACGAGTCCACCTGTCTCCTATAAATATCATATAGTTTGACCCCACTCCCCGTCCCTACGGCCGCCACCGAAGCCCAACTCCAGGACGGAGCATAAGATTCGTTTCGTTGAACCCGGGTTCCTCCCTTAGTCTCACTTCTCCACAAAAGACCATAGTGTAGTGACTGCTTCCACAGACCAGCTAGATATGTATCGCCGGTGGCGGCTCGGAATTCTTTAGCAATACCGGACAGAGCGATGAGTTTATCCGAATTTTTTGTGAGATTACAAGCCGTGTATGTCGAGAGAATAGTATGCCAAAAGAAAGGGCTTATTCCCCCGTCAGAGTACAGCTCCATCCGCCCCCCTCGAGCTTTAATAGTTGCTTTCTTTTTGATAATCTCCTTCCTCGAATCCTTATATCCATATCCTAGCTTTCGCTGCGTAAAGTCTTTATCATTGATCTTTCTGGAATTCACCAACCCGATCATAATATCGGCCTCGCAATGGGTACCTCCCAAGCACTCCCAATAAAGTTGATTTCGTGTGAAGTAGATAGTACGAGTAGACAAGAAACGCTCCTGTACAACCCATCCTCGAGTGTGAAGAGCCGCACCTTCGATCTCGTCTGCCCAGATTGAGTCATTCCAGCCTATCCATGGGCCGGAGTCAAGTTTCGATAGCTTAGGTATACGAATGCTAATATTAGTTGTGAATGGATATAAAAACCTCACGTTGTCCATTCTTTGGCGAAATAGACCGCCAAGTGATGGGTCAACCGATGGTGAAATCGCCGATATATTACAAAATGAGTAGCGATAAACGTCAACCATTGTATCTGCTTCTCTTCGCCAATCAGCGTCCGAGTCTTGGAATATACATAGCGAGTCTATCCAGAGATATCTATAGCCTAAGCGATGGACAAAAAGGACCGCATCGCGAAAAGTTGGTGATAGCTCGTCAAGGGGTATGCCAGCGCGAAGTTGGTGTTCCGTTTCCTTATTGAGCTGGTTAATTTTACTCGGGTCTCCCCAACGATGAGAAAGAGTCCAATATACAGGATACACGTGTACTGAAGTAGAAGTTGGCGTATGGCAGCACAAGTCTTCCTTTCCAGAATCGCGTTGGCCCATCGCTTCGTCTCTATTCCTCAAGAAGACAGTACCAAAGCACGCCTTTTGGACATCGAGTATTCTAGTTGGAAAGAAAGCTCCAGCTTCCGTGGGGGATCTGCAAAGGTCTTTGTGACTTTCCTCACACGACGAAATCCAGCGTTGTACATTTTCCAAGGACTGAGAAGATCCTATATAAGGGTCGAGCTTTTCCCACGGCCGGGCCACCATACCATGATATGCGTTTCGCTGTTCATCGCTAGTAGATAGGCGTACTATGTTACTGAGCGCCTAAAGCCAGAAATAGTTCGTGATTTGTAGAATAGGTATTACGTACCAGTAAGTTCATAGTCGGCAGCCCATGAACATGAGATACCAAATGTTACGCGACACTCGTAGCCCTCCCCATACATCCCAACGAAAAGAAAGTAGTTAATTGTAAACTGTTCATTAGGGTCCTCTGTGACACCCTCTTCGTGCATTTGGGGCGGGCACCTTGACCAGATCCAGGTACAGACGAAGCAGCCGATATCTTTACTCGTCACTAAATCAGAGTACTTCTGGTGATGCGCGATTTTCCCCCAGTGTTCCATTTCATTGAACATACCGAAACTAGATTTGCAAGTAGCACATAATGACCCTTCAGGGTCTTCCATAATAGCATGTGTACTAAAGAACAGACTTTAAGCACCGTTGTATGGTTTAAGTATAACTATTTCAAAGATCACCAAGTTATGTCATAAATAAGTGCCTAACGAATGATATCATAATAGTCGGATTTAAAGGGCCTATGCAACGATTATGTCCTTAACTCCGTGCCGTTTTACTTATGTATTTGACTGGGCACATGCAATATAGCATTTAGACGATACTCTATACTAATTCAAAATGTTTGTTAGATATTATAGTCATACATAAAGTGAATGTTAGGATAGATAGTACTGAATTATCAACGCCTACTTTCTGCCTTCTTATAAGGGCGTTGCGCGCTCTTTATATAATAGTAGATCTACCCCTGTAACTACCCCTAACCCACTCATACCCTGACAGTGCCCAATTCGCGTCACATAGTCACAAACTGCATCCGCGACCATCGGAAATATCGCTCGGAAAGGCTTGGCTTGTTCTGATCAACGATACCTATTTACCATTTATAAAAGTGGAGATTTCGTATGGCTAACATCCTAAAAGAGTGGCTTTTAGCGGTTATGTACCAGGTAATAGTGTCTCTATACATCGCTAGGTTAGGTTACTTGATTGGGAGAAAGGGGAAAAAGTGTTAGGTAGTTAAAATATTTCTGTTAAAACTAACTGTCATAGATATTTAAACATTAAAGTATTGACTAGTTATATGAAAGATAACATTGCTTCGTTCTGTCAGGTCTATGTATATCGTAGTTGTGAAAAGCCACCTTAAAATATCCTCAAAATCGATTTTTAAAAAGAGCAAATGCAATTGTTTTACATATAAGGTATAGTTGCTGGTTAGCAATTACGCCGTTTTTTTTTTTACATTATATTGCTTTTGATTTCTATAACATCGGTGGCAATAGTATATATTTATATACAAGGGTTTTAAAAGGCCAATAATTGAAAGTGGACGTATAGTCACAGGAGTTTACTATACTTATTCTGGTTGTGATCCTAAAAATTCTTAGGTAATACTATACCCTGCCAAGACTCATCCTGTTAGCCATACGAGTAAAATGATTAGCAATAGTAAACGACTAGCCGGACACGACAGGCCGTACGTGCATGATCCAGGGCTAAACGAGGGGCAAAATATCTAGGTAGGTACTAAGTAGGCAGGTAGGTAAAGGGTTATTGGTTGATATGAAGATTTTGATCCAACGAGGTTAGTATATTTCGGTGTTAGAGGTGAACCCGAGAGTCTTAACGTTCGCTTACCAGCTCTTGCGAGATAGGATCCATGTCATGCATGCATGATAATAAGATCCAGACATTAAATATGAAGATCATCCAGAAGAGGAAGTACACCTATCCATCCTAGGAGATATCAGAAACCCTCTTTATCCATGTTATCTCGGCCTGTAGTTGGGGAGCACTCGGCCGTCATACATGTCATCCCGGAATCCATACTTAATCAACACTCCAAGTGTGTAATCCAATTACGTTCTACTTGCTTACTTTTATCTGACCTAGAATAGCCAAGCAAAGGAAACCAATCCCTTATATTGGATCGATAAAGACCCACTTCAAATCATGTGTATAAAAGGTCCTAATAGAAAAGGTCGAGGGCGCCTGGGCTCGATAATTATTATCAGCTTACTTAGGTACTTTCTAAAGACCCATCTCGATATTCGCCACAAGTATGTCCTCTATTGAAAGTTTAGCATCGTCCATCACGGAACAAGTCTCGAGACTCTCGTCCTTGCTTCAAGGAGAGGGCTTGCCTTCTCCAACCTTTGAAGAGTCCGGATTCAGGGATTTCGAACGTGAAACGGACACGCCAACAGGAAAGGCATTGCGGGAAGCACGCAACAAAATACTTGGCACAGCCCATGACCTCATACGGTTGGTACAGGGTCCAACCGAGCATATTCTGACTTTAACTTGGGCGGTCAGTATTATTCCGATCATTTAGTTGCCTATTATCCTCTGCCCTTCGGTAGGAATATTGCTTATACCTTTCGGACCACCTTATAGACCGCAGACACGGCAAACATCGATTTGATTACCCGGCTGAGGATCCCCGAACATGTGCCACTAGGGTCGTCTATATCAATCCAGGAACTCGCCGCTGTTATACGCATCCCTGAACCGTTACTAGCTCGAATAGTACGATATGGGGTTGCCAACGGTGTGTTTGTCGAGGAATCGCCTAACGTCATTCGACATTCAGCATCGTCGGCTGCGCTGGTGCGGAACACGCACTTGACTAATATCGTACGATTCGGAGCGGCAGAACTTGGGAAAGTCGTGATAAAAATACCGGATGTAGTTGTGCTTAAGCGCGACGATCCGGCGCACGCCCCCGACACTGCATTCAACTTGGCATACGGCACGGAGGAGTCATTATTTAGCTACTTCCACAGAAATGAAACCGTAAATAAGAAATACCATGAGTATTTAGCGGCAAGAGTAAACACACCCATGTGGTCTGTTGATCGTCTGCGTGCAGCCTGGCCGTGGGAATCCAAGGGAAAGGTTAAGGTAGTCGATGTAAGCATTTCCTTTCATCAAGGCACTATTTTCCTTCTTCGCCTTTGCCTATTCTCCCGTGAACTAATAAAATTTAGGTTGGTGGCTCTAGCGGTCATACAGTCCTGGCATTGGCGCCCTTAATGCCTGACGCAACATTCGTTGTCCAGGATAACAATCTCTCTTCGCTAGAGATGGGACGACGCGCCGTTGCTGAAGATCCGTCTCTGAAGTCGCGCGTTAGCTTTGAAGTGTATAATTTCTTCAACCCACAAACAGTTCAAGCCGATATCTATATATACAGACATATTCTACACGATTGGCAGGATGAGGATTCTGTTAAAATCCTGTCCTCGCTGCTTCCGGCCCTAAAGCCAGGGGCGAGGATTTTGATCAGCGAGGGTATTGTTCCGGAACCGCCTGCAAAGAGACTGAACACATTGGCAAGCAAAATGGTCCGGTGAGTTGCTGTGTTTTTCCGTCATAACAACGCTTTTCTTTCCCAATTGCTACTTCAAATACTAATAAGTTGAGTATATGCAGGGTAGAAGATACGTTTATGCTCGGAGCGCATGATTCGCGTGAACGTACTGTCGCTGAATTCGAGGCACTGTTCCATCAAGTCAGCCCTGGAAGTTTTCGGCTCGTGGGCGTCACATCGGGCGCTGAAGTCGGAGCTTTCCAATCATTGCTAGAATTCGAATTTGTTGGGACGAAGAACTAGTATAGTAATCACATGCTTGGCAGCTTATATTGAGGCTTTATCATGCAGTTCATTAGATCTAGGCGAAAAGGGGGTAAACTTGGGCTACATCTGAATGCCGTTGCTCCCCGTCTCGTGGTTTTGCCTGCCAATGGTCTATTTTACGAGCATGCAAATGCTTACCTACCTATTTATCCTATTTCAACTACCAACTATAGACTATCTCAACGATTGATAGATCATGCTTATACTATTATAAGACTTATGCTCTATTATATTACCGCTGCATCCTCCAACTTCTAAAAAGGAAACACATCAATCAGTCTTTACTAGTCCTTAGTCTTTAGCGCTTGTTTAAAGTATAATTCTCTAAGTGGCCGCTCCTCTAGTGTCTTTAATGATTTACTGCTTCCGGGACAGAACCTGGGGTATTTTCCACTTGTGGATAAATGTGAGATATGTTGCAATAGTCGCTACTGTGCTGTGTAGTTGAAAATGATGAAGCCAATGAATATACCGACATTATTAGCGCGGCCGCTATAATCGAAGTCATATTGCTTTATCTACGTGATGTTCAATAATTCGTTAGTCTCTTATGCCTCAGAACGAGATATCGCAAGTCCATGCATAGCGTTTGTGGCGAGACTTTCAACGAAGTAGTAGAGCGGCGACACATTGTAGAACCACCGCCAGCCCCTGGGAGTAAGCGGGGGCGGTGAAAGAGGTCCGTTAAAGGTATTAATCATAAGCTAGATGAAGCCGGTTGCTATCTATGCAGCTCCGATGGTTGGGAAAATCAACGCTATCAGTCGCGCGACGCTGGCGGTAAAAATGTGGAAGAGTTCGTACACCAAGAATGTGTAGCCGGCGCGCTCAGATGAATAAAAGTACCCGGTCATGTAATACCACGAGACCCAATAGACGAGTCCGACTATAAGAGTAAATGGTATCTCTACTATAAATGCGCTCAAGACGAAGACGGACCAGTGGTAAACACGAGACTCCTTTTCGCGTGCAAGAAACTGATCGCGAAAGGCAATGAAACGTGGCTCGATCTGTAGAGTAAGCACAGGGTCTGTGATGATGCCAACAAAAATGGATAACATGCGATTCCGCAAGTCGGTCGTGCTGTTCGATAACTGCAGGAATGTTAGACCTATAAAAACACAACGCACGCTGCTTAAGCAGAATAGGTCTTTGCGCAAAAGTGTCTCCAAACTCCGCGGTAGCTTAAAGGCACATAATAAGGACACAGAAAAACAACGCCGATGATCTCGTATAAATTCCGTGGGTAACCGCTTGTTAATTCTCGAAAGAGTGTACCCAGCAGTATTGCTTTAGCGATGGTCCCCGCGGCCTATGCCACCCAAGTACTTCTATCCGTGAAATGGATACGGTAGTGACGAACAGTACATTCGTATATTTGTCTGTAAAACGGTAACTGGAAGCTTGATATCTCTCGTGCCGGGGATGGCGTTGTATTATTCAGAAATACCGAAATTTCCTGTGTGTAGTACTTACTTTCCCGGTATCTTTGTTCGAAATCAAGTGAACTAATCGGTACGGGTCGTCTGCTATGGTTGGGGTGGACGTGACGAGACTTGGGATTTCCTGACATGGAGGTCAGGAAGTCTGTTAGCGACGTTTGAGTTGAGCATTCGAAACCGAGGTCCTGAAAGTACTGCTTCGATTCGCTAGTAGGTCCAAAGTATACTACACGGCCTTCGCTTAGTACCAATACTTTGTCAAAACAATTAGCTATCACATCGCTGGCTTAGTATAGAGACACGATGGCGCAGCATTGACTCTGAATAGTATACTCCCGAAGAATCAATGCGATCCGAAGTGCAGTGGAAGAATCAAGGCCGCGGGTCGGATTGTCAAACGCCATAACACTAAAAGGGGTCAGTTGGCACATATATATCGCTCGCTTTGGCATGAAGTTTCTCACCTAGCCTGTGTACAGAATGCTTCAGCCAGAGTCACGCGATGTCGTTGACCTCCACTGACACCTCGAATATAACCATTCCCCACCGAAACATTCGCGACGTGCGCGATATCGAAAAGGTCGAGGAGAATCTGTACATTATCGTCTAGCTGTCGAGAGCGGTTATGGATATCGATCGGGGTCCGCGCATTTAATGCAAATCGTAGTGTCGTGCCCACAGAGAGACCATGGAAATGGATATCGTCTTCCTCTATTCATTCAATGTTATTATAATTGAAACACAACAACCGAAGAGTTACTAGTTTATATATGGGAAGACTCACCAGCATAAACCATCTCCGCTGGATGGTGCGATTTCATTTCCGTCGCGCTTCGGCCGTTGTACCATACTTCTCTACCCACTGCTTGATATTCTTCCCGCATGTTTACCAGAGTCTTAAGGAATGTCGTACAACCACTCCCTAGTTTTCCAATAACCATCAACATCTCCCCTCCACGGATTATACCAGACATCGAATGGAGGAGCGTGCGTGATGGCTTGGGTTCTTTCGATAGATATGATGCTGAATTTACCTTCCCAGCTAAATCAAGCAAAGCTGTTGGGATTGTTGGAGCTTCTTGGTGCTATAGGAAGTGAATTTCATATCTTGAAAGCACGAAAAATGGTTTCTTCCAATACTTCATCCTATGGGCAGGGAATAGATTGGACTTAGACCAATTCCAGCTCCTCAGACCGTAAGGTTTCGAAACACTACGTCTTGCTTCTCTTTGTTCCCCCCGGGGCGATTGCGTAGAAATAATTGAATTAATCTAGGGGTTGTGTTCTCGTTACTAGCCACCTCCTCATGGCTAAGCTTGGGCTCGCCTTGGTTAAAGGGGTCCAACTCCATCACAACAATCTTCTGGTTGAATTGAAAGATGTTAAGACAAAATCAACAGCTTCATCGACATTTTATAAGACCTATCATTAATAGAAGTAGCTAATAATGCTAACTTCATATATATTGACTCTCATATTCCCCTTTTTGGTAACTAATGCTCGGGTAAGCTAATTGATGGGATATCTAGGTACCTTATTAGGAATCAACAATTGCATCGTTAGCAGAATCAACTATTCACTGGGGTCACAGACTGATTAAAATTTACGGAACTCTCTTCTTCCAGTTTTATCCCGCAAGACTTATTCGCGTCCTTGAGCCTGCGGTTACTTCATAGGGATACTCTCCGGATAGGGGTGTAAAAATAATTGCTGAAAAAGGCGAAATTAACTCCGGCTATACCAAATTTAGTATTTCGGGGCAGTATGTAGATCCATAGTATCCCAGAAGCTAATCAGAAGGAGTAGTGCCTTTTTAAGATTCTTAAGAGCTTATTGCCACCTTTTCAGCCTGTAATAACTGGAGGAAGAGTTGGTCGACTGTAAAATTCCTTGAAGGGGGCCTTAGAAATAAATCGTGCCTATTTTCTAGGGGTACGATGGGCTATATCACCCCCTATTCGCCCCCTAAATCCGATGACATAAATTCTAATGTCAACATATCGCAGATGGATATACTGAAGACTTTACAAAATTGTAGGTGATTTATATCTCTCTTTTCCAAGTGCTCACAAAGTAGATTGTATAACCTTTGCGGGTTATCTGCCACTATGGTTCTCAAAATACTACCAGTGGATGGGCCGTGTGTTATATCAATATATAAGGGTATTGTATTGATTCACTTAATATTGATTGAAGTGACTTTTAGAGCTTAAGGTTTTATTGACAGCATACCCTTCTGAGAATATGATGACGAGGGTCGGCTTTTGGTCTTTATAGTTATCAGTGAAGCCGAACCGGCCTATTGATAATAGAGATACAATTTGGATATACTATAGGCAGAGTAGGTACCTAACCTAGTAAAGGCAGCTAAATCATCAATAGCTTTTAACGGAGAGGAGAGAAACCTTCACTGCCAAACGGAAGATTCGGAAAATCGGCCAGAACTCCTGTGATCCCATCGGTGTAGGTCAACCACGCATCAGGGTCTGTGGTATCTACCCATGACCACAATTCGTCGCTACTTGGGCGTGAAAGATCGAGAGGGGCGTCAGGGTTATTCCATCTCATGATGCATTGCCTCTCCGTGTTGGGGGATGCTGGCCGCCCGTCTTTCGATTTCAATATATGCACCAAATTGTCTACTTTGGCACAAAGTGAGCGGGTCACGGCTGCTGCCCGAACGGCTATGGAATTCTTCGGGTCCGCTGCGCTGAAAATCTCCAAGGCTAGCTGGACATGGTGGCGAGCAGCAGGCGCATATATGCAAAACGGATATCCCATAAGGAAACCAACCAAGGTGAGTAAGGCATTCCATTGCCACTGCCATATTTCACCATGCCCACAGAGCACATCGGTAGTAGACATGATGCGATGAGTGAGGTCTACTGTAGCTATAGCATGTTGTAATGCTGTTGTCGCATGAGCATCTCTCTGGGGATTGCTTTTTGGAATTAATAGCCCAGTAGGGAAACAAATAAACGGTCGATGCAACCCAATTATCTCGTCATAGTACTGAAGCTCCAGGAAAACTTCGCCTAAGGCTCGAGACGGGCTCATGTCGGCTACAGAAGAGATCCAACTATAAGCTTCCTTGCTATCCCATTTGCTATCCACATGAAGTGGACGCCCAAGAGCCGGGCGTAGCTGTTGATCTCTCCACTCATGTAGCCGGTAAACTTCTATGGAGAGGGAGGATGCGCGTGACACAACTTGCGCGAGGCGATCCTCAGTTGGAATACCTGGATGCCGAGTAAGGGCCTCAGTCACAGCTAGCGTAGCCCTAGTAAGAGTAATCGCCCGGGTATGATAGGTAAACTCATCTGTAGGTGGTGAAGGGCAGGGTGTATCAGCAAGTTGTACTCCAACCGGACGCCCCAGTAACCGTGCACACCGGAAATTAATATGAATAATAGTCCACCAGATGCGCCGGGCTAGATAGACGTTCGGGTCAGAATCCGGTAGCCCATGATGAAAATCAAGCGCCTGTGCAATGCGCAAGGCTAACCCGATCATATTATACGCAGGCTGGTGTTCACCCGCATCAAGCAGATATAAAGTCATAAGGACATAGCACTGTAAACATTCCAATGATGGCTCTGCAAAAATAGCATACTGACTGGTGGCGGCCAGGCAACGCTTGAAGTACGCAAGAGAAGGACATCCTTTCTCAAAGCGTAGACTTAGCAAACGATGATTTAAACCTGAATTGTTAAGGTAGTTCAAGCAGAGAGCAATGATACCATCTACCACAGGGATAGTCTTCAACTCGGAACCATCAGGAGTCCATAAAGTTTCAAAAAGTGTATCAACGTGGGCACGATTGACAATAGGTTTAAGAGGATGACATCGTGCCCAGTAGATATCCAACAGGTGTTTTACCTGTGACCGAGAGAGCACAGTACTAAGCCCGTTACTCTCATCATTTAGTAGCGATTGTCCATCCGGAGATGAATAGGGGGGCGGTGGCGAGTCACCTACAGAATCAGACGACAATTGGGAAATAGTAGAGCAGAAGGCGTTGATTTTAGACATGAAGCCAACTGTTGAATCCATTCCATCAGGCCTTGATAAGATGGGACTAGATGGAGTAGGCTGCGAACATTGGTCGGCCGCCTCCTGGGCGGTTACGAACTCGTCCTGAGGATTTTGGGCATTCTCAGAGGATTGTTGACCGGGAGGTGAAGAGACGCATTCTATATTGTTGGCCAGACACCGCGAGCAGGGCAATTCAACGTCACAACGCACCCGGTGTACACGGCAATAGTTGCATGCTCGTGCCACTTTAGATCGTCTGGGATTCCGCCGAGATGAGCGGCTACTAGAAGGTGTTGACGCAAAGGTGAAGAACATGGCAAAAGCTAAGATTAATTAGAAGCCTATCCAGACATTTCCTAATTGCACTGAGTAGGTGAAGAAATTATAATAAGATGAGATTATTTGGATAAGTGAAGTTAAAATATTACTAATAACTGTACTAACAATTGTGAGGTACATAGTATATTATAGCGAGATACAGCGCAATAACTTGTAGTGACCGGCCTAAAGTAAACCCATTTACAGGGACATCTTCAGGTCCCCACCCCCTTTAAAAATTAAACCATCGACACGCTGCGCTCTAAAAATACATTCCTACTACATAAACATCAGATTACCCTTTAACGCTACCTATGCACTCATAAGTCGTCAGTCATCCCAATCCCAATCATAATGCCTCTACATCTTTCAGCTCATTAGCAGTCCATTCCCAAAGTTTATCAGCCAGCGCCTCATCTACAGCCAGCTTCGACGCTGCCGCCTTCTTCCCGACTGGCTCATAGTATTGCCCATTCTCTAGTTTCTGGAGCGGAGCCGTAGCCGCCCATAGCGGGTTATACGCACATTCGGCTGCGCTCTTCAACAGAAATCTGGCGGCTGAAATAAGTCGCTTTACTATAGACTGCTTCGTATGCTCTAGCAAGCCCGTATTACCAACGCCCGGGTGCACGGGGATGCTGGTGATTTGCGGATAGCGCTTCGCCATCGCCTTGCAATACAGGATCTGCGCTAACTTGCTCTGACCATACCGCGCGAATTCGCCGGTGGCTCCGGGTTCCCTCAAGTTCTCGAATTGAATACCTCCGGGCGGAGCGTAGTTGTGACCGTACGATGTGACTTCAACGTGTCTTACATCAGCTCCGCTCTCAGCTGTGCGCAGCAGGATGGGACGTAAAAGCTGTAGCATCACAGCGTGCCCGAAGTAGTTGCTGCCCCATTGAAGCTCGAATCCCTCTTCCGTCAGGCCAGGAGGTGTAGCCATCATGCCGGCGTTAGCAATGAATATATCAAGACGATCTGACTTGAAGCTCTCGGCAATAGCTTGTCGGATCTTGGCGCGGGGTGAGCAGAGATCACACTTGACGAAGGTGATCTCAGTGCTAGGACCCTTCGCTTTAGCGGCAGCGAGAACTGCAGCACCGGCTTCTTCATTCCGACCAGTGAAGTAAATATGAGCGGGATTGTGCGAGGCCAGAAAGAGAACTATTTCTTTCCCGATGCCTGAGGTACCTGGAGCATAGGAAATTAGTTAAAACTCATTTAACTATACGTTGAGTATATAGACTCGCCTCCTGTGACAAATACAACTTTTCCCGATCAATCAGGTATATCTTTTTCCGGGTTGAAAGAAGGCATTTTAGGTACCTAAGGCTATAAATAATACTGACAACGAGAATTTAGTGATGCAATATCTACCGAGAGATAAAATATAAAATACGTACCTAATAATGCCTTATATGGAAAATATCGTATAATCCAGATTGATCTCAGCTTCGGGAAAGATTATCTTCCCGAGAACCCGGGTTGTTGCCTGGGTACTATTCAGCTGGTGTGGCTTTGAAATACATAGATCCCTATTATTAGATCATTGCCAGATAGATCATTGTCAGATCATTATTAGATATAGTTGTACTTGTGCTGTCTACGTAAACTCGACGACCGCTAACCCTTTAACCTAACCTAGGGTGTTGGGGAGCTTGCGTACACACTACACAAGTATATGGTAAGGTCCGGCCAGTAGTAGCCCTTCAATCTTCACCCCGCCCCTGAGGAAGACTTCTAGGTGTCAGATTGACCACATTGGCTCGGTATCGTTAACGGCTGCTTTAACGATACCGAGCCATGTAGTCAATCTGACACCTACATCATAGGTTAGGTACTCAGCGGGGTGACAGTCAAAATATTGGGTCTGGACCTCCGAATTATGACTCAAAGATCCAGTCCTCAGTGAATTGGCCATACTCAATATCAAAGTTGCTCCTGAAAATATCCTCATACTTCTCAATCTTGCTTAACGGATTTCTTGCTTGTCGGAAGTACTCCTGGATCTGGAGTTTTATGGTTGGGTCATTCCACATCTTCGCCATCCACTTCAACCCGTCTTCACTAATCCCAGTCAGGGGTAGTTGGTAGCTGCGAAAGCGCTACATTCGGGCATAAGTAATAGTGAGTAATAGTAAATATAGGGATTCAAGTCTTCCAGGCACTCACCCATAGAACAGGCCAGAAAAAAGCATCGGCAATAGTGAAGCCGCCGAATAAAAATCCTTCATCCTCTTCGCCCAGCTCTTGCAGCCTTTTCTTAGTATCTGCTCGCGCCTTGCTCCAAAGTTCAACCATTCCCCTTATCTCCATGGTAACAGATTCGCTGAGGGGAATATTACCAGTATACTTGCCGAGGAAGTTGGTCGCATATGTATTGCGGATCTCACTGAAACCGGAATGCATCTGCGCTACTGCCGTTCTTGCTAATGCCCTTAACTTAAGGTCCTTTGGCCATAAGTGAAGCTCTGGGTGCTGCTCTGCTAAAAACTCGCTTATAGCAAGAGAGTCGGCGATTACAAAATCTTCATCTTCCGCACCAACCTGTAAGGCAGGGAGTAGGCCTTTCGCGAAACGTGCCGGCGGTGCGGCGGCCGGATTATTCATGCCATACAGCTTAATATCACAGGGTATGTGGAAGTATGAAAGGATAAGTTCAACCCGCGATCCCCAACCTAGTATTGGTGATCAGTTTTCAAGTTCGTCAAGTATGTTAAGTTCCTCATAGTGATTGACATACTTGAATATCGGGTAAAGTACACATGAAGAGTGTAGTCTGTCTTCGATTTACTATCCGCCATTATGATGATGGAATACAGGATGAAGTCTAATACAGTAAAAGAAAAGAAAACGGGGTCAATATGTCAGAATTTCTACGATATTTAAACTAAAAATACACACTAGACTATCGCAAGGGAATGCCACGAAAGTCCGTATCGTAAGCCTTCAATTCGCTACTATACCCGGCCGATCACGGAAAACAATCAAGTTCTCAATTGACTCACGAAAGACCCACCAACTTATACCTACCGGAACTATACCTAACACCAAACAGATATAGTAAGATAAACTTGTAGAACCATTATCGGTGGCATGTAGAAGTTATGATGCATTCCACGGGATAGGACCGACAATATCTGGCTCGTCTTTCCATATTTGTTCCGTATTAACATCCAATCTGAAGAGCTCGGGGCGCTTATAATGGCCTGCTCCATCAACATACGCCTTCACCAGATTTAACTCAGATAGATCAATCTCTGCAGCGATTATCATATCTTTACCGCCCGTATAGGGGCCTTTGATGATCGAGCAAAAGGGGTGTATAATAGTAGTCCAACCACCGCCAGCCTTCACCTTGTCCTGTGGACCTAGATTCTTTTCCATCCACTGTAGACATGTCTTGTCAACGTAGCTACTAGGACAAAGTACGAACACTTGCGCAGTCAAAGCGTGCGTCTTCATCAATGCTTCAATTTGTAAACACGCCACATCCTCGAAACCCTCGAGAGTATCGAGGGCCGGCCAACAGCCAACATGGATGTGCTCGCCCTGGTCGATAAGGGCTTGCCGAGCCCCATTTATGGTATGCTCCCAGCACGCAAGCGCACCGATTTTATAACCAGTACCTTTGGGCTCGTAGCTTTTGAGCGTATAGCCAGACCCCTGTCCCCATACAAGTCGTTCGGCCCATGTAGGTTGAACCTTGCGATGGACTCCTAAGATGGTACCGTCTGCGTCGATAGTCACGATGCTGTTGAATAACGTGTATCCATTACGCATACGCTCGGAAATACCCAAGACGACCACCATTTCGTGTTTCGCACATACGGCTTGTACTTCGCCGAGGTCATCTGGTACTACGACACTCTGCGCCGCGTATAGCGCTACCGTCGAAGCGTTGGGCGCATAGCAGTTCGTGAAGTAGGGAAATCCAGGTACGAAAACTTCGGGGAAAGCAAGAAGCTTGACGGACTTGTGTGATGCATCGGAAATGGTGTCAATCACTTTACGTAGGCTGGCAGCCTTATCCATGTATACTGGGGCGGCATGTACAGCAGCTGCTTTAACTTTCTTATTTAGCATTTTGGAGCCTCTCTGGTGGTGATCCAAATCGGAATTTGTTGTTATACATAAGTTCTAGTCTATCATGCCACATTAATAACTATAAACTCAGGATGAGAGATGAGGGGTAAGGGGTTCCTCTTTTTCCAACGTACCAACCCTACCTACCTATTCATGATAATCAGACCTATCATCAGCAGCGGGGCATGGTACAACCCATCGGTACTTGCATGGCAAGCCACATGTTGATCATTTCAAAGTTCGTTGATTATCCAAATTATACCTGAGATTCCTTCCCAACTCGGATGCTACTAGCTACCCTAGGCCCGATAGTTTGCCGGCTCATAACCCGCCTCTTATATATTCAGTATCATCCAGTATCCTCTAAATCTCTATCACACATTGCCTTTGAGGTGTCCTAGTTGCGTATGCCTAGGTAGGTTATAGCCCTCGTAGCCCTACAGGAAGCATAATCTTTGATAGCCACGCTGGGGTCTTCCTTAGCTTTTACGTGGTCGGAAATATCCTTCTACTATTTGTTAGAAATGCAGTTTCTTCGATCAATTTTCAAAAGCATAAAGTGGTATACTCTATCATATATGATGAACTAGTTAATATATTTTTGATGATGTTTATCTTATTTACAATCAGAAGGCAATTGCTTGGTCTATTTTATTTGATACTAGAGCGTAAGGTAAATCAAACTGTAGATAAACAATCACGTAATTTGAAGTCTAGTGTTTCAAGGCTAGCAAATAACCAACGCAGGCCGATGAGGTTGAAAGCTATAAAGTAGAGGTCAGGAGACAGTTTCGTAAACCCGCTCTCATATTATTCAGGAAGATATACAAAGGTACAATGAGGTCCGTGGCAAACCTCTACCACATGAGCATTGACAACTGGTACCAACCATGCGGAATAATTCATATGACCTTGACTGTAGCCATTTGTATCCCACCCGAATATATTTCATGAACTATTAACTCGCAACCTGTAGCCAAGGTGGACCTTATCGATGCAATCATTGTAATAAACTCGAGTGATTTATTCACCTAGGACTTGACACTACAAATCACTTAGGTATCTGGAGCTTGTCAATTCCATGATTCAGACCTGATACCGGTCTTACACGTATATATATCTATTATTCAGGCCTACTTCCATCTCAGTTCCCCCAGTTACCAAACCCCCTTGCTACCTAGTGACTAAGATAAAAGTATTCAAGAAACTACAGCAGGTACGTAAATGACGAGGTAAGGTACGATTAGGCGAATGATTCTGACTTACAACATGGAGGAAAATAATATATACGTACCCCCATTCAACTCCAGAAAAGATTCGTATAATAATACTTCCTCCATGCCTAAAGCTCTTCCTCTCTCTATACCTCTCCTTTCCAGATTACCTTTTCAGCCTTCGTTAGACATTGGATCGTCAGGAAACCATCAATTCAACCCAGTATCTCCCCAAGGCAAATACTCTTGTGCATTCAAGTTCACCGTCAGTTATACTAGCAGGAGAAAAAATGCAATCAATTTATTGACCAATTCTAGACAGTTCCAACTGTATCTCGCGATGTCGTCGGCAACGGATAATGAGTTCCCCAGCTACCTCAAGGCATTCTTTTCGAACCGATTCACTTTTCCCATATTCAACCTCGGCGCACACGCTCATGATTTGCGCTTCACGGTTACCATGAATACGTTCTGTAATGAGAGCCCACTTATGGTTCTATATGATGGTTCTACCGACGATGGTAGCGTCTTAGCAACAGTCGGTAGGCCAAAGGACGTTCAAGGCACATACAACACCAAAGTCCAGGTTGACGATACTGCCATTATCATAGCTAACCACAAGACTGATATTCGTCATCTGTATAAATTCTCTTTACAACTAGAGTCATGCCGCGAGAGATTTGAATGGAGACCCACTCAAGGAAACGAGGTGTGTAATATGTTCAGACACGCCAAGGGATTCAAGTTGGTACGACTTAAAAGTAACGGTCCCGGAAACGGAAAGGGCGGCAAAAGAGAATACCGGCATATGGATGAGACTAGCGATGGGAAAGAGGTCGTCGCTGTTTGGGCCACTGAGAAGGACTGGATGCCGTTGACCTTGATACCAACTAACAAACCATTCAAATTTGAGTTACGTGCAAGTGGCAAGTCTGGGGAATTGGGTAGCCAATTTGGTTATTTCGCCATAGCTACCGCACTGAAGATCTGGTCTTACGAGGCTCAAGGCATATCCGGCTTCAGTATTCATTTGTAGATTATGACTCTTTGGGGAATAAGATAGGGGCTCCTGAAGGCAGTTCTACTTGTGGCTTTAATATCGGGCTATGACTTACCAGCTGTTAGGTAAAGAATGATTCATGTTAAGATTTACTTTGAGTAAAATATTAGCTCCTGCGTAAGCATATGTGGTTCTAAAAATAATAGATAGAATGATGGGGGTTTTAAGTCATGCTTTCTTGGAGCTCCTTCGTATTATGTAGATTCCTTAGGTGGTAACCAGTTGTCAACCTCGTCATACGACCCACCCAGTACAGCTCATATAGATATACAAACAAATACTAGTGTTATTAGACGGTCCTATTTTAGTTGCCCATGTGCAAAATATTTACGAACCTTTATTCAATTTGCACACCTTCTACCAATCAGGTATCCGGCAAAATCCCCCCTCAGGATTCTCAGCCTCATCTTTACTTCCACAATCCATCTTCATTGGTTCGTCTAGTTGATATTCGTTTCAATATACGATTCAAAAGGTCAATAACTCAGTTCTCCCCAACTTCAACATTGAGTGTTTTCCATCCGGATAAATACCTAGGTACTGGAACCATCATTCCAGCATTACTTCAGGGACGTGATCATCTCAACACTTCTCTAAGTCGGGATTCGGGCCTTAGATTTATCATACCTATTCCAAATCTTCGAATCTTCTATTTTTCGACACTGCTGTCTACGTTTACACGCCTTGTCACCCGAGGTTACAGTAAGTTTTTACCGCAAATAGCGAAATTGGTCACAAAACTAACAACGATATAAAGAAATTCCAACATGGCTGAGGAATTCCCCCATTCTCTGAAGGTTTTATATACCAATACTTATCAGATGAAGTTCGGACTCGGTCAACACGCTCACGACCTCCGCTTCACAGTATCGAGGGGGCCTATCGAATCAAACACAACTCTCATTCTTCACGAAGGATCGACCACAGACGGCCAGGTCTCGGCAATTGGGAAAGAGATAGGCTGGGACCCACAGGGATATAAGATGGTCAACAATATCACCCCTCCTTCCCTCGTAGGAGAATACCCTAACACTTTCACTTCAACTATGAACCCCGAGCAAGATTTTACTCGTTGTTGGTACCAGTTCTCAATGAAAGTGGGCGAGGGCGAGAAGTTACACAGCGAGAAATTCGAATGGCGACCTACCCAAGGCAAGGAAATTCAAGCCATGTTCAACCACGCAAAAGGGTTTAAGCTGGTACGAGTAGGGGCCAAAGGACCTGGTGACGGACGAGGCGGGAAAAGACAATCGAGACAGCTGGGGGAGACCAGCGATGGCAAGGAGGTAGTCGCCGTTTGGGCAACCGAAAGAGTTCTAGTGCCTATGGGCCGCAGTCCCTTCAAGTTCGAGCTCCTTGGGAGCGGCAAGACCGGCGAATTGGGTCGACAGTTCGGGTACATGGCTCTTATGACTGCGTTTGAGACCTGGTGTTTTCAGGTTCTCAGAATACAAGACGACTTCCCAGCTTATGCCTATCGCCATTGATATCTACGTACGGAGAGATTCTCAAGGAGTGCATTATGTTTCTTAGGTACTTCGAGATAGAGTACAAATGATTCATATTTATGACACCCGCAAATATGCTGTTACAACCCTTCTCCAGAACCAGAATATAGTTTTGAGCAATAGTGAAAGCTTCATGAGTAACGATGGTGTTAAGAAAATCCTACATATTCCATGCTTCTGTTATTTTGTGTATCTAAAAAGCAGAGGCAAATGGCAGGATTCATGACAGGCGTTTATACTTAGTAGCTTCTAGTGTTAGAGGCAGTGTTATGTATGTCATAGTATACGTCTTATACGGTATTACCACCATAGCTACCTCCTTTCTTTAAGAGCTCGGCTCATCTTCCTTGCTCGAAATATTACGTACGTAAAATATCTATTTTAAAAAAGCGCACCGTAATCTTATCTTCCAATTCCAGTATGAAAACGTTGCCACAATTTCAAGTCCAGTCCCCCGTAATTATATCATTTGAAGTTAACTACTGTGTACCTATGTCAAGTCGTGATCGGCAAGGGAGAAGAGAAGTTCATGAAAAGATACATCGAGATAATTCGTCCTCGAGTATTCTATATATAGGTGCATTACATGTATCAAGATATATAAATAGGCTTTCATCTCGAGAACAAAGGGAGATGTCTTGGCAATTATTATTCTATTCTCAAGATTTCATTGTATTTTCGATACAAATGTTCTACTATGACAAAGCGACGGAAAATTCATATTAACCAGTTTACTCCCTACGAATTCAGATGCAATATCTCAGAAGCACGTCGTAGTTGTTCTGGGTGCTTGTGGATAGGTATCACTAGAATAGGGGGGTATTTACTGTCCAGCTCCTCTAGGATCTATTCTCAGCCATATATTAACGAAGAACCCTGTCGAGGATTATTGTCACTATGGCTATACCGGTTATCTCCTCTCATAATCCAGCAAACAGCGACGTCTATATAAAAGCCCTCATGATTGACTATGCTTTTTCAAATTACAAATATGTCATGACCCCTAAAGAAGCCGAGGAGATTTTGACGAAACCATATTGGGACGATGTTGACGCTTTTTGTATTTATAGTATGTAACATTAACCCCCCCCCCCTCTCTCTCTCCTTTCTGGCCTATATATATCTTCTTATAAAGAACACACATTGACATTTATTATTAAAGTGATACAAGCGAACTTTGGACAACCAGTGTCTAGGACAAGTAACGTAAGGCTTCCTAGTGCAATAAATATATACACTGACGAAGAGCTCAACGCCATGGAGTCAGGGTTGGTTGAGCTCTCGCCTCCTAGGAATGAGCTCAACACGAGTGAAGAGTTGAATGTGGAAAATACGCAGTCAATTATGGGCAATAACCAAGAAAGCCATGTTAGATCTATGTCGCAACCCGATATTAGAATCACCGAAGGGGATTTTGAAATCGAATCCGAAATCGAACCTGAATTTGAAAGCGAGTACCTTCCTCCATACTCCCCTGAAATTCTTCCGGCATATACTCCTTTCGACATTACAGAAATTCCATCCCTAATAAGTGCCGAAGAGGCCAGGGAAATCAGCAGCACAGAAGACATCACTATGTTATATGATACCATTGAAGGAAATCATGACGAGACAGAAATGAGGGGCACCTCAAGACTTGATTTCCTTTACATTTTGAGTTCAAGAGTGAACAGAACGTTCCAGAAGGTGAAGCAAAAGCTCACCCGCGGCTTTAAGACTATCTCACCCAAGAAGGCTCTACACTAGGTCTAACTGTTAGAATCGGAAAAAAAGATTCAAGGAAGATAGTAGGTATACGGAGGTGGACCTTTCCTTTTAACCATGATAATAAGAAGCCCAAGCAGAGTGGTTAGGTGTTCAGACCATTGATGGCTTCGATGCTTATAAGTTATAATTGTCACCTGTTAATATGTTTAAAAGTATGTTTAAGTACCGTAGTTATTATTAGTCGAATAAAAATAAAGTTATTAGTTCAAAGATTTACATATCTCCATATAACAACCTCATTTAGTGTCTCCTTAGTGGTTAATGACGTAACATCGTCGACCCCACCGTAGCCCACCGGAGCTCCCCCGTTACATAACATGGTACCTGGACTAGGCAACTTTAAGAAGATACCTACCATGCATCATTATATATTTCCATCTATATTACAAACCAAAAACACATTCTATATTCTAATCCGCTAAAAGCCGCCTTCGAATTTCCAGTCCGTCAAATTATAATACTATATATAAGTGCAAGGACTAAGACATACACGCAACTCGAATGAATGCTTAGTCCCGCGCCGATTTATCTCCTTAGCAATCATTCCAGGTGCAAGATGTCATCCTCACCAAAAGAAATCACGATAATAGGAGGCGGCATCATTGGCTGCTGTACCGCCTACTTCCTCACCCGACATCCTTCCTATTCTCCAGAAACGCATCGCATAACACTCCTCGAGGCTTCTAATAGTAATGCCGGAGGACGAACTCCTGACAGCATCACCGACCCAGCTACGTTAGCTGATCCCGAGACCGCATCGAAGAGGAACCCCGCGCACGACGGAATTGCCGGAGGCGCAAGCGGTAAGGCAGGTGGCTTACTTGCTCTATGGGCTTTCCCTCGAAGCATCGTACCCTTAAGCTTTAAACTACACGATGAGCTTGCGACAGAATACGGCGGTGATAAGAGGTGGGGGTATAGACGATGTTATGCAAGTCAGATTGATTGCCAGGCGCGTCTCCCACCCGGTTTCAGTAGTAGGATGGCGGATAAGAAGAATATAGGCGAAGCGGAACCTGTCAGCAATGGTGCGGAGCGGGTTTCAAAGGGATTACATAAAAACCACAAGAAAGGAATCAAGGAGTTAGAGAAACTTGGCGCCCCTGAAGATCTGGACTGGCTAGATATTGAGGAGTCGCTCACTGCTTACGAGGGGATGGGTACCCCAGATAATACAGCCCAGGTACATCCTGAACTGTTCACCAGAAGCATGGCTCAATTGGCTGAAGAAAAGGGGGTCAAGATCGTGACGGGCGCAAGGGTCACGGCCATTAACAAGACGCCAGATGATAAAAGCGTGGAGAGCGTGACATACGAGAAAGACGGAAAGGAAGAGATATTGCCGACAACAGATTGTGTGGTAGCTGCTGGCCCGTGGACACCGCGTCTACTGCCCGAGATCCCCATTAACGCAGCCCGGGCTCACAGCGTCGTTATTAAGACGCCAAAACTCGTATCCGCATACGCGCTCTTCACTTCGATCATGCTCCCAAACGGGTTCCCCACCCCGACACCCAGAGATTCTAGGGGAGCCCCGGGTGCGCAGCGGCCACTGAGGGGGCAACAAATTGTCGAACCTGAAATATACGCGCGACCAGACGGCACCGCATATGCCTGTGGGCCTACCGATGATATAGTCGAACTACCACTAACGGCCGCCGAGGTCGAAGTCGACGTGGCCCGGTGCGAGGACATCATATATCAACTCGGCGGCATAAGCGACGAGCTAGGCAAGGACGGCGAGGTCCTTGCGAAGCAGGCGTGCTATCTACCTCAAGGCGGTCCTTATATAGGCGAAGTGGGCCCCACCAAGGGGCTCATCGTTGCCGCAGGGCATACGTGCTGGGGTATACAGAATGCGCCTGCGACAGGGAAGCTCGTCAGTGAAATTATCCTAGACGGTAAGCCGAAGAGCGCAAAGCTAGGCGGTTGCGATCCCTCATCTAAGTATGTGAATATTATAGGCGACGATATAGTAGAAGCTAGGAGCTTCGTGTATTAATGAATAGAATCATAGGTATAGAAGGCCATCTTTAGTTAAGACTAGTAGTTAAAGGAGTTATTTTGATCGCTCCCCTGTATATTGATCGGCGTCACTATGTTTGTTTGACCTCGTCTCGGTGGAACTAAAATATTTTTGCCTGCATAATATAACTTTTTCAAGCTCTATGACCAGTAGCTCAATTACATGTAAGTGGAGAAGTAGAAATAAGTTCGAAATAGTTATTGCTAGTTACGAGCTAGTTTAATCCTACGATCCTATTTGGCAATGCTAGCAGTCAACTAGTCTCCGCCTCGGCCATGCATAGTCACCTCTAATATATCACTAGGTTAGCCGCTTCTGTTATATACCTAGGTAGGTAATCTGTATCAGATCATTACAATGAAATACCTATTATTGTGTGATTTAATTTTTACTACTTAAATCCAATTTTAGGATGGATCGGCCTTGGCAGCATGAGTAGTGTGCTATGGCAAAGAATATCCATAAATACCAAATACCTTTCATCTCAGGGACGTCAGCCGTTACGATTTTTCAACTGGACAATTTCCCGTGGGGATACGCTCGCGGCGCTTGGGGGAATTCGGTGCCAGGATGTAGTGCAGGTTGCCAGCGAAAGCGATGTGATATTCATATCAGCGAGTCTTACCTGTATTTCACCCAAGTACTACATATTCAGTATAGTTTACTAACCGGTAGGTAGCCAGGAGGCGGGAGACTGAGTAGATAAGTGAGGATAAAGTCGTAGAGTCAATTATAGCACAGGCCCTAGATTCGGGGGGTATAACGGGCAAGATCGTGGTTGATACTACTACTATCCACCCAGATACCACCAAGGCGCTGGCCGCGAAGTTGAAAGGTAAAGGTGCTGAGTTCGTTGCTGCACCTGTGTTCGGTGCGACACCGGTGGCTGAAGCTGGACAACTGCTTGTCGCATTTAGAGGTTCAAAAGCTGTCTACGAGAAGGTCAGCCCCTTCCCTCTTCACATTACCAGCCTAGCCAGAATAACCGGCCTTGCTAACTCAACTAACCCTTCCTTCCTAAACAGAAACTTCCTCATGGCCGGCCCCATGGAACTCATAGCAGAAGCGCACGTCTTCGCCGAGAAAACGGGGCCAGGCTCAACCACCTTAGAACGTCTCCTAGCGCTCAGCTTTGGCACCGTCGCGCACTCTGATTCAGTGCGTATGACTACGGGGGTATACATTCCGGAGAAAGACCAGGCGCCATGGTCGGATCTAGATCTCGCGCTTAAGGACGTAGGACACGGTGTCGTGGGGGAGGACGCGGGCCTGGATTTCAGGACGGAGGTTGTAAGGGAGCGGGATGGGAAAGAATAGGTCCGGCGTAAGGAATCCTATACATCCCGTAGAACGTCAGGGTAATTGATGAATTTAAATAGCTCTAATATTTCCCGATAACATCTCGCAAGATCTGAGTGATAACTATATTCAGCATATTTATACGAAATAGTGGCACAATACCATCCTATTTTTCGTATTACAAATCAGCTCTTGCCTCTTCTCCAGCCCAAGCTCGTCGGATCAGCTCTCTTATCGGCCCCCTTTCGATAGGCCGAGGGTTCCAATAAGGGTTGCTCACTGCTATGTCTGCTGCCTTATCTATGTCGCTCTCTTGCATCCCTAAAGCCTTCAGTCCCCTCTCTACTTTCAACTTCTGTAACAGAATATTTAGTCCCCTTGTAGCGTCGCCTTCACTCTCCGGCAATACAGCAGCCAGCGCTTCCATTGCCCCAGGGATCTTTGGGGCATTATATGATAATGCGTGTGGTAGGACTATGGTATGAGTCTCAGAATGCGAAAGGTTAAAACTGCCTCCTAGGGTGTGGCATAGCTTGTGATGGATAGACATCCCGACACTGCCGAGACAAGTACCGCAAAGCCATGCGCCATATAAAGCAGATGAGCGTGCTTCTTGCGACGACGGATCGGAGATTAGGACAGGGAGAGAGCTTGCAAGAGCTTTTACCCCTTCTTGAGCAAGGAGATTAATGACCGGATTGGTATTGCGAGCATACAACGCTTCCACAGCATGCGCGATGGCGTTGACGCCACTTGTAGCGGTAAGACCAACCGGAAGGGTCATGGTGAGATCAACATCATAGACGACTGTGCTAGGCAATATCTTCGGATCGGATCTTGCTGTCTTCCTTCCAGCATCCGTCTCACCCAAAATTGGCGTAACCTCACTACCAGCGTAGGTTGTCGGAATAGTTAAGTGAAAGATACCTGTCCGGATGCTGAGTGCTTTTCCTAAGCCCACTGTACTACCACCTCCGATAGAAATGATAGAGTCGGCCCCTGAGGACTTAACTTGCTCAAGCGCCCTCTCAGTCACTTCGACTGGAGTATGCATTGTTGCTTCAGTAAACACCCCAGAGACGACATCCCCGAGAACACCTTTGAGTAAGTCGATATGGCTCACCTGCTGAGGCGTGCTGAGAAGAAAAGGCTTAGATACATTTGCTCGTCGAAGCTCTTCTGGAACCTTTTTGATAGTGCCACTCCCGAAGACGATACGAGCGGGACTGGAATTGTATTCGAAATTATCCATGTTCGATATTATGTTATAATACTGGAATATAGAAATATTTATAGCGAACAGAAGTTACTCGTACCAACTCCCCGACACTGGTAATATTCAAGATAGCAATCTTCGAGAGTTTCCGGGTAGACAACTTACTTATTAGATTTATGTCGTGCTGGATCTATACTTACCTTGCCGGGCTAATAGGTTCCGCACGAGTACAACAGCAGCAAGATACCCTCCGGTATCAAGTGCCGACGCTGCGTGATGCAATGGGGGTCGGCATCGCTGAGCCCGCTAGAGTATTCCCCGCATCCGGAGCAGAGGATCGGCTTGGATCAACAACAGATGATTTCAAGGACTGAGAATAAAGGTTGAGTGTATAAACCAATTGATCCATCAAAAGGGAGTAGGAGGAGCTTACAAGTTAGATAAATGGGATTAAGTGAAGAAGTTTCTTTGACGGCGCAAACACGTCTCGTCATGGCCATCAGAGTACGGAAGTGCGCGTCTCCTAATATCGACTTCAATATGTAATAATTTCCCAGATCGTGAAGCTTTTTTTTTTCAACGATATTCAATGACCTTTAATGTGGAATGAACTATTTTTAGAAACAATTTAGCAAAGTGTGCATTTCTTTGAGCGCAATGTTTCAATGTTATTCATTCTGTCAATAATCGCAAGAAATATTGAAAGGGTCTAGAAATATACCCCTGTAATTGGCCCTTGTAATCAGATAATCTATCAAGTTTAGCGCTGTGATGTGTCAGTAGATAGCCTATGTACCCCACATTTATACGTTCAGCTAACCTACGATTTCCCAGTTTCAGGCCGCTACCTACATGTACCTAAGTACTTTATCCCATCCCTAGGGCAACAACGTTACCACTTGTAAACAACTCCTGCAGGTCTGCAACCTCTATCTTGAAACCATGTGCTATGCATTTTACAATTTCAACGTCTGCACATTCCTAAAAACCTTAATACTAACCATTGCCTTTTTTTTTTTTTCGTGGCAGAACCGCGTTCTCGCCGATCACTGATAATCTAATTTCAAGACATTTTGAACCGGTTAACCATCTTATCGCTCCAAGCGAGCGCACGTCAGGTTCACCGACATTTCGACCGAAAATATAGAGAACATTATTGCCTTTTGTGAGGGAATCGGGGAGGATGCCTACGGCTACAGATGGCCCGACAGTTTCCCTGTCGTGTACGAAATCTACTCCTGAAGCCGGATTAGAAGCCCAAGATACTAATATTGTATGAATAGTTGCCAATAACTTCTGGGGCAAAGATGACGCTGGTGTAGGGCCATTGCTTGATCGCATGGCCTCTGCGAAGCAAACCAGCGATGAGCTTAGATCTTTCTATAGTGGTAAGTCTTTCCTGCCTATTTTTACCCCTCCATCAGGCTAATTGGTCCGTGTTGCCAGCCCGGGCCTCTATCGAAGATGAATACGCACGCAAGCTTATGTCGTTAAGTCGAAAATCGTTGGGTACACACGAAATGGGAAGCCTGAAAGTTTCACTTGATACTATGCGAGGAGAAGTTGAATCCATGGCAAAGCAGCATGCTAGCATCGCTGCTCAGATGAAGACCGAGTTGGAGGAACCGCTGGCCGCCTTTGCTGGAGGAATGAAAGAGAGACGCAAGATCGTCCAAAATACGGTAGAGAAACTTCTCAAAATCAAGATACAACAAACGAACATGGTGAATAAGGTCAGTGCCACCCATGCATTCCAATAATAACCCCTGATAACTAACAACCCCACCCAGACCCGTGATCGCTATGAGCAGGACTGTTTGAAAATCAAAGGCTACCTTGCTCAGGGACATATGGTTATGGGTCAGGAAGAAAGGAAAAACAAGGCCAGGCTAGAGAAGACACAGATCAGCCTTGCCACAACAAACACTGAATATGAGAACGCAGTCAAAGTTCTCGAGGAGACGACTGCTAGGTGGAATAGGGAGTGGAAAGCGGCCGCCGACAAATTCCAGGACCTCGAGGAGGAGAGATTGGACTTCACCAAGAGCAGTCTATGGACTTTCGCCAACATTGCCTCCACAGTCTGCGTTAGCGATGATGCTTCTTGCGAGAAGATTCGTTTATCTCTAGAAAAGATGGATGTAGAAAAGGACATCATGCACTTCATCACCGAGAGGGGTACCGGCCAAGAAATCCCAGATCCACCCAAGTATATCAACTTCTGCCGTGGGGACGTGGAAGACGCTCATTCAGAAGTCTCCGAAGACGAGAACTATTCAGTAGCACAGTTTCCGCGGAGTATCAATCCTGCGTTTCGCACGTCTTCCCCCCAGCCATCTACCTTCGAATCGCATCATGATCCCAATTCCGCTCTTGCTCGAGATCTGGCACATCATGAACCTCCTCCGCCCTCTAGTAGGGATTTGATTATGCCTCCGCCAAAAACCCAGAGTTATGCCATGGCTCAGCAGGATAGGCGGCGAGGAAGTGTCATACAGCCGCAGCAATATCCTCAAAGCATTAACCCGGGCTTCCGTGCTCCCTCACCTCAGCCATCCACGTACGAATCTCATCATGATCCCAACTCGGCACTCGCTCGAGATCTCCAACGCCGAGACCCAAATCCCCCTACTACGCGGGATATACAGCGGAATGAGCCTCCTCCTTCATTTCCTCGAGACACGCAGCGTCGTGAGCCCGACATCTCCCTTACCAGAGAGATTCAACGCCACGACCCTGTCCCTTCATATACTCGGGAAGTGCAGCGTCGTGAACCTGATCCCTCTATGACAAGAGAAATCCAACGTCGTGACCCCAATCCTCCCATTCCCCGAGAAATACCCCGAGAGATGCCTCGAGAAATACCACGCGAAATACCTCGGGAAGTGCCGCGAGAAATTCCTCGTGAAGTTCCCCAAGAGGTACCTCGAGAAGCGCCCCGAGAAGTACAGCGCTTCGAACCTGATCTTTCTCTCACAAGAGAGATTCAACGCCGCGACCCTAATCCTCCTGTTCCTCGAGATGTACAGCGTAACGATCCTAGTCCCTCATTTCTTCGGGATATACAACGTCATGAACCAAATGCCTCCTTTACTAGGGACATCCAACGTCACGATACTAATCCTCCTACTCCACGAGATCCACCACGCAATGAGCCGCCGCCACCTTCCAATAGGGAGTCAGTTATATCACCACAGAACACCTCAGTGGCCATTATGGCTCCACAAGATCGTCGGAAAGGAAGCAATGGGGTACAGTCATATGATACTTCCAAATTCGCGCCTGTGCCCCACGATCCGTATCCTATGGATGGCATGACAATGTTATGTCGTACAGATGGCATGAATTCGGCGACGAGCTCGAATTTGTCAGCACGGCCATCAAGCGGTGATGATAATAGCGAATACTCGAACCCAACATCTTTCTCTAGTCAAGAGCCACAAAGCGGTAAAGTGTCACCAGTGAAGCAAGAGCCCGTGGTAGTGGCACAGCCAGAAAAGCAAATGCAAAAGAAGAAGAGTGGATTCTTTCAGAATCACAGTCCATTCCGTAGAAAAAGCATCAAGGACGTGAAGGCGTCGAACAGGAACACTTGGGGGCCTGTGTCTTCTCAGAGCGCGATGAGTACTCACGGTACGGTCAGCTCTCGGCGCAACCAAGCTTTTAAACCGCCAGAACCCCAGAACCCAGTGTCTCAGAACCCTATTGCAGATAGAGTCGAAAAGACAGCGAGTCCCGAACCTATTGAAGCGAATGCAAGCCTAGCCCTGAATATTGGGCAAAACGTATTCCCTGTGGCCAATACTGATAAGAGAAAACAGACCAACGATGATAATACAACTCCACAAGAGGAGCAAGACCCGATCGCTCAAGCCCTAGCGGAGCTGAAGGGTGTTGCTAGTAACAAGCAAGCTGCTGGGCGAATCTCAGCCGATCACTACCATGGTATCGCTACGCCTGTACCCGACAGATCCCAAGCGCCGTCCCGTTCCGTACCCTTATCCAGGGAAAGTAGCGATATGGCCTCTGGTATGAGAGGTACCCCACCGCCGTCATACGATATGCAGATACAAAGACTTGGAGTTCCGCCGCCAGCTGTTACATCTAAAGCAATGCAGGAGGCGTCACGAAAATATGTGGAGCAGACCAGGGATATGTTCAGCGCGAAGCGTCCTGGGTCTGGAGCATACGGCGGGGCGCAATCTTTCAGCGGTACTCCTACTCGACCCACGACGAGAGGCAGCGAAATGCCTCGTGCAGCATCACCGGCGCCTCCACGGGGCGCTTCTCCTCGGCCTGGGATGCACCCCGAGACGCGTCAGCCAGAGGCACGCCAAAGCCAACGGTCGGCATCGCCAAACCCGTACAGTAGTAGCCAATACCGTAACTCGCCACAGGCAGCTTCACCTAGCACGTATGGCAGTACCCAGCAGCAGAATTCGCCACAGACGGCATCCCCGATCTCATATAGCGCAACTCAGCGACGGGGAAATTCACCACAACCAGCACCATCAGTCTCTTATAGTTCAACCCAAAGACAGGGAAATTCGCCGCAACCAGCATCATCAATTTCATATAGTTCAACCCAACGGCGAGGCAACTCGCCACAACCGGCGTCACCCATCTCATATAGTGCAACTCAACGGCGAGGAAATTCACCACAACCGGCTTCGCCGTTGTCGTATAGTGCGACTCAGCGACGAGGAAACTCGCCTCAACCAGCATCACCAATGTCGTTTGGTGGTTCTCAGCAACGAAACTCACCACAACCTAGTATGTCAGTGAAGCGCGGGTCAGAACAAGGATACTTCGGGCATCAGTCGCCGAGCAATTCCATGAGGGCGAAGTCTCCATCCATCTATAATGGCGATTACAACCGCCCAACTAGTAGAGCTGAAGAGATGGCTATGCAACTTGCTCCAGTTGGAGATGGGTCCGTGTACGGATCAATGCGTGGAAGAAGCAATGGTAGGCCTGGTACAAGTTCGAGCTCACGGGCCATGACTTTCTATGACGGACGAGATCCCGTAGTAGAGAATTCGAGACAGCGAAGCCAGAGCGTAGCAGATCCGAGCCGGCAGTATACGCCAGAGGGCCGTGCCATTTTACACTACGGTATGTTTCTTTTCTTTTTTTTCTTTTTTCTCGGCAATAACTACTATGCAGATACTAATGGTTTTATAGCTCGAGCGTTGTATATGTACCAAGCAGCAATCCCCGAGGAGCTTGGATTCGCCAAGGGAGATATCCTAGCCGTTCTCCGACACCAGGATGATGGATGGTGGGAAGCTGAAATTCATTCGGGACAAGGTGTTGGTAGAGGCGGACTGGTACCTAGTAATTATCTACAGCCTTGTTAAGGCCAGCATTTAAGGGGCTCTTGGTTCTGCTCTTGGTTGACGAGATAAAGACTGACGAGGCTCACGAAAGTTGGTATCTACACGTTGCTTAATGTGAATACGTATGTTATGGGGTGTGATGAGCACATATTGAGCAGCAAGCAGGCAGGCGACTATTTGGTTGGGTTGAATTATCGGTCGTCTGTTCTTGGGAGAGCAGGCTTTCGCGCGTTCGGGGGAGCGTTCGATGCAAGTTGTTATTCATTGCCAGTTAGGCTATCTAGGGCCGTTAAAGAACGGGGAGTTAAGACGAGATTGCATTTTGACTTTTTTTTTTGATTAATTACCATTATCATCATTTCCAAATGAGAAATTCATAAAACTTCTAATGATTGAAGCTTAAAGGTACCTAACCTAGGTACATACATAGGTGATGTTGCTCTCTGCAATCTACGATGAGGTTAGTCATCAGCATGACGTCGATAACCCGTTGCGGAGGGGCAGCTAGAACTCTACCAAAGAGGTACGTAGCCTAACCTACCTAACCTAAGGTGTACCTAAGGTACATAGAAGGCATGTCGGCCGCCAAGACCTAACTCCGTTAAGCTCTACATCGATCGTACCTAACGTGCCACAAGCCGCTAATAACGGTACATAAACCCAAACACCATCACATGCCTCAACTCTCTCAATTTTAGTCTATTACATATGATCCTATTGCAACTTTTCTACTCTTAATTATTTGTGCTGCCTATTTCAACGACGCGAATCCAGGAGCATTACGAGGTCCAGCGACGCATGGCGCTTCTACCTTATTTAGAAAAATGGTTAGTTGCACGCTCATACTACCTACCTACATATATGAGAGGCTTCAAACATTCAAACCGAAGAGTGTAACTTCTTGCTATAAAATAAATATTTGTTTCGCTGATTATATACATAGGAATATGTAACAGGCTCTTATAGAGCTGCAACATCTCCAGTTGCCAAGAGGACATATCTCAGCGTTGCACTATTCTTCTCCGCGTCCCTGGCGCTTTTATTTATTGCTGCTTTGGCCTATCCCGTTTTCTACTATAACTACGTACCTAAGAAGGTTATATCTCTCCCTATCTACCTGCAATATGAGTAAGGGCATTTCCTCTCTATTGCGACTACAGAAATTAATATGCGGTATTATTCCAATAGCTCCGGCCTGAACCCTTATGGCGTCACATCAGTCTCGTCGAACCTCATGCTCGAGCAGGCCTATGATATATCAGTAGAATTAACATTACCACGATCGCCTACGAATCTTGACAAGGGAAATTTCATGGTCACTCTGTTCGGGATGAAGACTCAGCCTGGCAACCCAGCGTTCGCTTACTATTTCTCAGGGGAGGACCCCTTCTCGCATGTGAAGGAAGATACCGTAGTCTTCACGAGCCGCCGGCCGGCCCTGATCCCGTATGCAGACCCCCTCGTGAAAACAGTGTCGCGTGTCCTCTTTCTACCATACCATATCCTGTATCCTAGCGCATCGGAGACAACAACACTTATCATTCCAATGGGCGAACTCGTCGAGTTCAACCAAATCCTCCCGATGAGCATACTAGTGGAAATTCAAGCCGGACAGACGCTCCAGGTGTACTCAGCTACTATCACGCTTGTCGCCCGTCTAACGGGGATCCGCTGGGCCATGTATAATCACCGCATCATCTCGTTTGTAGTCTGCACAGTCGTTTTCTGGATAGCCGAGATGCTATCGACGGGACTAGCGTGGCTTATCCTGAGCTCCTTGATCTCTAACCAAATGCCTAGAGGCCCAGAAGATAAACTCAATGCCAGACCTGGAGGTAATCCTTGGCTGGGGCCACCTCCCGCACCTACGGCATTTTTACACGATGGAGCGGGAGACTCTCATAGCGAGGGAGAGGAAATGGTTAAGAAAGAAGAGGACGACGACGATGATGATGTGGATATCAAGGAGGAGAGTCCAGAACGAGAAACATTGGCAGATCAACCAGCGGACGATGAGGAAGACGGAGAAGATGTTTGGAGGGAGAAGGGTGCCGGAACTAGTTCTAGTTATGAGAAAGGGGGTAGCATACGCAGACGATCATCGCGAGGGGGTAGATCTTGATAAGGGAAGAATTTGTTAGTGTAGACTAAGATGCCCCTCTCGAGCCTACTTAACACAAGCATGTTCGCCACGTATCATGGCGAGTTATCCAGTTTAAATTATAGAAAAGCCGAGTCGCTGCTTCACTAGTCCAAGGGTGCCACACGATAGTCGAAGTTGGGTAGTTTCAACGATAATAATCTACCTAATCTAGGTAATGTACCTAACTATGTACTGTGTTGCTAAAGTTATGTACATACAATTAATTACCTGTTAACTAGTTACTCGATTTCTAATTGTTGTTTTCTCCACATTCTCCAAATACATACTAGCCTAACCGTAACACCCGCATCTCAGTAATCTATTTGGCGATGCAAGATATCTATCTGTATATCTGGGTAGCCTACCTAGGTACCTAGATATATAAACTACTCCTACATAAAAGTAATATATTAAATACGGAGGTGGCTGAATACATCAACGTAGACTATATGTACAGTTGGGTACATGTACATTACATAGTCACAGTAGTTAGGTACATTACTTAGTTAGGTGCATAGTAAGGTTTATAGCGGACCGATACATTGCATATAAGTCCAAGACGGAGGTGAAGGGATGCATCTGTTGCATCTGTTGCATGTAAGTCAGCTTAAGACAGCGTAGCGCAGCTTCGTAGCAGCTTTGACGTGTTCAGGTGACGAGGGTGGTCCCAGAATCGCGGTTAACCAATCAATTGATTTCTAGTCTCCCCCGCCATTGGGCCATGGCTTAACAGCCGAACCAGGACTCGACCTAAACCTTTTTTTCTCATTGCAACATGTAACAAATCTTCGCTTTTTCTGCCACTACCTTACTGCTATTACTGCTGCTGCTACTGCTGCTACTGCTGCTACTGCCCACCAGATGCGCAGCAATAGGGCGAACTAGATACCTAAGGCCTAGGCCATTCATTTGCTTTGACCTTAATCCAAAACTTACCCTACCCTTTTTTCTTTTCTTTTTTACCCACGATAGCTTTCTACGCTTTCTACACTACATTACGAATTCTACGTATAAATACATTGCAGCTTTAAAACTTGCAAGACATATACACATGCACACAGTTTCATCGATCCCAAGACCTTTTTTTATTTTTTATTCAAGACCTCGGTACTGTATGGTACCTACATTAATAGTCTTGAGTCCCTGGTTTGCACAGTGAATTCTTTTCCTCTTACTCGTCCTCATTGGCCTCTAACCAAATAAATTAATTCGACCTCGATAAAAACGTCCAAACCAAAAACCAAAAACCAAGCATTTGCATATTATTCTTCTTCTTTTTTCATTATAAGAAACAACCCTTTTAAAAAAAGCATCTGCCCGTAAGAATTAAAGAAATATTCGGGGTTCGGTCTCGCAGTTTAATAGGTTACGTTGGCTCTTATAGCTTCGTGAACAGCAGCTTGCAACTTGCACACCGCCGGAGGACTTGCAAATTGTTCCTGTTCCTCTTCCTACCTGACCCAAGCACTTCTCTCAACAAGCAACCTCTTAACTTCTTAACCTCCATTTCCTTACCCCTACCATTTTCCCATTTCTCACTTCCCACCTCCCACTTCCTTAACCACAGCTCTCTACAAAACCTAGACCGACAATTACACAAACTGGCGATCCAACGATCCCCCAGCTCGCACAGTATCTTATCGAGTCTTTGTCCACAAACAGCTCGCAGACTTTTTTCTTCCGACCAGGGCTCTATATTCTCCACCACCCCTCGACTACCCTTCCTTCGGACACGACAGCGATAACCCTCGTGTCTCTTCTTAAGCCCCTCTGTTACTTTGTCCGATACTACGGTTTATATCTAGTAACGATGCCCTGCTTCAAGGGCATCGCCGTGAGCATCCATGCGAATTCTGCCCCGCTCCCAGAATATGGCATGCAAAAGCAGTCTCGTCTATCTCGCATCAGCACATATATACCTGTTCCTCAACCTCAGCTAAACCCGGATACCTCTAAACATGAGGCAGCCAAGTTCGCCATTTCAATAACGCTCTTAACACCCGGTCATCCTATCCCCTATACGGCTCCGAAACCGACTGCAGCCAATCCCTACCCGAAGCCCCTCTACGCGGGACCTCTGATGTCCACAAGCTCTGATCCTTCCAAGCATGCCAACACGGTCACACCATATATTCCCATGACGAACTCGGAGAACGAGACCATTGCTGCATACATCTACTTCGACGGACGAGCTAAGGAAGAAGTCGCCACTCTATTGCGACCGGGAGAAGAAACATGGGTAAATAGTCGTTGGGTTCAAGTTCCCGAGAGCGAAGGCGGTGGCCTTGCCGAACGTGAATTTTTATTCCGAGAGGTCGGCTTAGAACGATGGCTTAATGGTCTAGATCTCAAGGGCCACGATGCCGCAGAGAAGGTCGAGAAGCGAAGACAGAAGTTCGAGCGACGTCATCGCCGCCACAGGTCCACCCCTCACGGCGGTGACGCAGAAACGGGGAAGGCCCCTCGTCCCCGCGATACCCTGGCGTATGGGGGGGAGGACCAGTCACCGCTAGCAACCCCTGATGATTCGGACGACTCCTCTATGTCTGACGACGACGAACCCCCCGAGGCTACTGGTCAAATCAAAGTGGCTATGTTCCGTGTGATTGCTTCTGGGGAAATTAAGAAGGGGGAATATTCACCACAGTTTGATGCCCACGATGATGATGACGAGAGCGACAGTGGGACCAAGGGGGGTAATAATGGAGCGATCGATGCCGATGTTGAGCATACCACTAGTTTTGCTAAGCCCAAGACGCTCGATCCTAAGACAATTAGTACTCAGACCGTGACTGGCATAGATGGTCCGGATAAGCCCTATGCAGTATTTACATTCTTCTATCGTGGCCAACGTAAGCAACTCTTGTTCGAGCTTAACGTTTATTCCCCACTAACACGTTATCAGGTCAACTCAGCAAGATGGGGTTGTTCCCTAGTTCAAAAGCCGACCAGAAAGCACCGGGTACAAAGCGGCGGTCTACCCAACTCGACTTTTCAGGGCTTGGTCCTCTCAAAACTACTGGTACAGTAGGCTTTTCGGCCTTCAGAGACCAGGAGGCTGAAGCTGCAAAGAGGAGAAAGGCTCGCAGGAAGAGTAACGGTGCCAACGGCAACCTCATGGATGAAGATAGTGATGACGACGATGATAACGATGACGACCCCCTGGCTAAGATGGCAGAGTCTGACGATAAGGACGTCAAGACTCACCTAGCACCAGAAGATGCCAGGATTACTGGGGAGCTACAAGCCGGTATTGACCGCATTCGCGTGAGTTGCCACCTTTTAATTTTATGTATAGTGTCATTAACAAGCATACGATAGCTTAAGCGACAGCACTCTACAGAGCCAGTTGCTGCAGGTGCGTCGGGTTCTCAAAAGTCACCTAGCGCAGGTCCCACCGGCGGAGAATCGACGCCTACGGATTCTACGTCAAGCAATCAACCTATGCCCAACTCGGTTGCGAATCTGCTTGCGAATGCTTTCAATGGCGAAACAACCGTAGGAAGTCCTCTAAAAAAGCAACGTGCAGATGACGAGACACCGGATCGCTCCATTAATTTCCCGTCGGCTTTAGGTGATGTGCTGGGCAGGGCTACTGCGGATCAGGAGAAGAGGATAAAAGAAGAGCAGGTTAAAGTTCAACTCCAGTTCGACGAAGATGAAGAGCTTTGAAAGGGCTACCAATTTCACGACCCTATTGACTGTTTTGAGGTACCACTTAAACCTCGCCAGCCGCAAGACCAGTTAACTTAATTTGCTGCTTTAAATATTTACCGGAGCCGAGAGACAAGCCGAGTAACGAGGGCTCTTAGCAAAAGGTAATCTTATACTATCAAACAACCGAGAGTATATGATTATTACAGGGGAAAGAAACGGGTGAAACTTAGATAGCGGTGACTCGTGTAGCGAAGACTTTATTCTATGAACACGTCGACTTTATTTGCTGTCGTGTTAAGAAGAGACTCGTTACTACATGCTGGAGCTAGCTATTTAGATATTTAGCCAGTGTACAAAGGTCGAGGTATTCCAGTTGCATATGGCAAATCCTCTCTACAGGAGAGTTTTACTTGGACATAACGAGGTCGTGTTCGTTAGCTACATGTGCAACGACTGCGTTTGATGTGAGATGATTATGACAAGGCGGATGGAATGGCGTGTTGGCGGTAGTGGTGGCTTTATTTCTAGGTGCGGTTCTTTTATAGAGAAAATACCCGAATAAGAAAAGAGTTCAGAGAGCAGCTGCAAGGTTGCATGGGACTTTTCTTCATTCGACTAGGTTAATGAGTTACGCGGCTATGTATGTGTATTACTGGCCTGGTCATGATAATGCCCTAAACTTATGATGAACAGTTGTTTTCTGCATAGTTAGTACGTATTTCTTGCTAACACGCTTGTGTACAAGCAGCTTTGGATACTTTAGGTACCTAGGTATATATGGTGAGCCGGTTATTGCATACAAGAGTTTAATCAATAAGCATCTTTCGGCATTCATATATTATTTTCGGCGTTGGAAGCGAGTAAACGGAACGCCGTACGAATGCATGAGAAGCGTCAATCGCAAGGCGGGGTTCTTAACACCCCTGAAGTTAAATACCTATAAGACGAACATGTCTATACCTTACCCAGATAACCTATAACTAGGTACATATAACTAATTGATTCTCGTTTGATCATATTTTCCGGAACAGCCGGATGTGGAAATATTCATTTACTACATAGGTAGTTGGGCAGTAAGCATAGAAGTACTTGACGTAAACCAACGCACCACAGCAGCCCAGACCTGAGATGAGACCCGGACTCTGCATAGCGGCGGCGACTGTCGCGCTTGCGCTGCTAGGGCAGCCGCAGACTGGGCAGAAGGTCCTGTCTGTCGGGGGAAAGGAAGGGGAGATGAGGGAAAGCCCGCTTGATTCCGGTTTCGAGGCTTTTGCCAAGGCGGCGCTCGACCGCTGGAAAGTCCCGGGGGTGTCGGTTGCTGTTGTTGACGGGGAGGATACGTGGGCTGAGGTTTGTGATATGTGTTTCTTTTTTTTTTTTCGTCTAGCTGGTTTTAAATGGTGGTTTGTTTGCGATGGAGGATGTGGTGAGCTTTGAGATGTTGCGTCGGAGCGGTATGTAGTGAGGTAAGGAGATAAAATTGTTGAGAGAGCGGGGGAGAGAGAGAATCTGAATGTGAGGGGATTAATAGTCAAAGGCCATACCGGATAGCTTTTATTGGTATATTAGACAGCATGTCAAACGGATAGATGGCCTATACTGCTTCTGAAAACCGAGGTCTTCACGGAGGCTACCCCTTATATTTACAATACTAGAATACCATATTAATACAAACTTCAAGCTGATGATATACACAGGGCTACGGTATCGCCAGCTTCCCCTCAACGCCCGCGACCCCGTCAACGCTATACTACACCGGCAGCACGACCAAAGCATTCACAGCAGCCATCCTATCCCTCCTCATCGCATCGGGAAACTTCTCGTCCTCCGATGAGCAGTCCTCCCCGCTCAGCTGGCAGACGCCCATCTCGCACATAATCCGGGACGACTTCGTCCTGGGCCCAGAATACGAGTGGGCGGCCGCGCACCTGACGCTCGAGGACGCGCTCTCGCACCGCACGGGGTTCCCGCGGCACGACAAGGCGCTCGCGCGACAGTACGGGCCGGGCCGCGGCCAGGGCACCGTGCGCGACGTCGTCCGCAGCCTGAGGTACTTGCCCATGGTCTCGGAGCCGCGCGTCGCCTGGCGCTACTGCAACCTCATGTACATGGTGGCCGCGCACGTGATCCAGACTCTCACTGGAACATGGCTGGGTGCTGTGATGCGCGAGCGGATCTGGGATCCCCTGGGCATGGAGGCTACGTATTTGAGCGTGGAGGATGCGCTGGAGGCGGGGAGGGAGGTGGCGCGTGGGTATTATTGGGATTATCAAGGGGAAGGGGAAGGGAAGGGGAACGGGCAGGGCTTCGTCTCAGTTCCGTACGGAAGCCTTAATCTCGCGAGCGGCGCTGGTGGCATCGTGAGCAATGTGCTGGACTATACGCGATGGATCCGGTGCTTGATCCGCGGCGATAGGAGCGACGACAACGACAACGGTTGTCCGGTCTTGCCTAAGGAGGCACATCGCGAGCTTAAACTAGCCCGTATTGCGATGCCGCCCGAGGTGCAGATGAACTTCGATGCCCCGCCGGCGTACGCGCTCGGCTGGGAGCTCAGCACGTATAAAGGCTGGCGGGTATTCACGCATAGCGGGGGCATGGAGGCATACGGCGCCGAGGTTTACTTCTTGCCGGATCTAGAGTACGGAGTAGTTACGCTGGGGAACACGGCGCAGACGAGTAATTTCGTGGGCTTTGAGCTTGCGTGGAAGTTGATTGATGATAAGTTGGGAGTCCCGGAGGAAGAGCGGTTTGACTGGGTTAGCCGGTGAGTTTCGTCCCTCGTTTTCTGAAAGCCAGACATTGTCTTGCTATCTCGTCGTTTAGAGGGATAGGAAGAGGGGGTTTTGAACTGATGGGGATAAACAGAGGAGAGAAAATACTTAACACCCAGCTCAAGCTCGCCGAGACAGCTGTTCATGACTTATATCCGGAACGCGCAGACCTGGCACTGCCTCGGACGCTGCCACTTGAGAAATACGTCGGAGTCTACTCCCACCCGGCGTATCAGAACATCACGCTACAACTGACCGATGAGGACTCGGTAAGTACGAAAGGGGAACTTCGAGCTCTGCGGGATGATATGGAGTGGCAGATGACGTTCGACTTCCACCACGTCTCGGGCGAGTTCTGGGCGGTGGTCATCGATATGCTTAACACGCCCAACTTGCTCAACGGGCAGCGGGCTCGGGCTCAGTTTGAACTCGGTGTTAAGGGGACTGTGGATAAGCTAAAGATGGAGTTTTTAGAGGATGGGAGCGAGGGGGTTATTGTATTTGATAGGGTTGCGTGAGATATCGTACATAGCTTGAGACGATATGGTATGGTATATTGAAAAATACATTCGATAATGAAGCGGCCTCATGATCCTACTTATTGGTGTGATTAATGACATGACGACTATTCACATTCGGGTGTAGATAGCATAATGAGAAGAAATCGATGTTTAATTTATTCATTTATATACTCGGCTATATCTATAACCTAGAACCAAGCGATGCTGGGCAATCGGGGCGATAGACCCCTATGCTATTTCTCATACACCAAAACCACCTACCAAATCTGCTCGCTGGCGATAAAGAATTAAATATGGCATCAGAAGCTGCCGATCCATACATCCATACGCCTGATAAATGCGAAGGCGGCAACCTAATACAAGTTAGCAACACTAGAACAAAGCTAGAAATGGTAAACAAGTAATGCATATATGCTTAATGAGTCAGACTGTTGAGCTTGATGAATTTTAATCCACATGAATATTCAGTTGGCTGTTCTTAGAAGTTTGGATCATCACAAAGAAAGCAATAGAAAATAGAAAATGAAAAGCAATAAAACTTACACTTGCGCGGCGACATACAGCGTGGTGTCGGGAAGAAGCGTTGTTGCTTTATTAACAAAGAATCGAAAAAAAGAATTCGGGTGCAAGTGGGAATAAATAGATCGGAATTACCGAGCCGAAAGACTAGAAGGGTTTTCCCGGCTGTCCGGCTACAGCTCACGTGAAAGCTTTGGTGACCCACTATCAGTGGTTAATCCATTGGCTACTGCTCGGCTGCTAAAGTCGCTCAGCTTGCTAACTGACTTCACCCATCGAATCTCGACAGAGAACGAGTTCCAATCTCCACTCTACCACGACATCCTAATATACGCCACCACCCGCTCACCTATTCCCTACCCTAAGACACCTACGATTATCCTCGAGGAAGTGCTACGAACACCAGATAAGGAAAAGGAGAAAGAAAAAAAGAAGAAAAAAAAGAGACAGAAGAAAAGGAGCAAGGTCCAAACTAGAGGGGACCTCTCAAAGTCACATCAAACAAGAAAACGAGCAAGATCATGCCCGCCGTTCGACCAAACGCCGCCGTGCGGGCCACACGCGCCCTGCAGCAAAATCAAAAGACCACAGCCAGACCCTTCTCGGCCACTCCGCGCGCCGCGGCCTCCCACGGTCCTCAATACGACCCCCCGACCGGTTGGTTGTTCGGCGTCAAGCCCGGCGAGAAGTACCAGAAAGAGGGGTGGGAGACTCCCTTCATCTACGGATTCTGCGGTAGCTTGGCTCTTGCCGCTGTCGCCTACGGCTTCAAGCCTGATACCTCGTGAGTTTTACACTTTCGGTCTTGGATGGAATATAAGAGGGAGGATGAAGGGGCTAGGCGGCTGGTATGCTGTCCCGCTGTTCGTGGGATATGGCATTCACCATGCTCTGTTCTATCCTGTTCTATCCAATACGGCTGCCAGCGACAGTCTGATATCATTGGCTAATATAACTGCTTTTAGAATACAAACATGGGCTCTAGAAGAGGCGCGACGGAGATTAGAAGCCGAGGGCATCCTCGAGGACCCCGAGAAGAAGTGACGGATCCCAACCATAACCATATAGAGTGCGATTGACGGGAATGGAACTGCGATACTAGTTCGAGGCTCTATTTGTACATGAAACCCGGCTTTCCTTTTTACTCTCGTGCTGCCTCGCCTTTCTCGCGACGGTGAAGCTTCGATTAGAGAAACCCATCATAGACGGATCGCCTCCCGAGCTGGGGAGGGGGGCTAGCTACCTATAAGCTACAATTCAATTTCTTCTGCTGTGCAATTCTCGTCTAACCTAGCATCATACCGGTCTACTCTAGAACGTCTGGTCACCCCTGTTCAAATCGGTTTTATTTTTAACGATATTTTTTATTTTTAACAGGCCAGGTAAGTGAGTACGCCATTGCGCCGGATCTATACCATCTATGCGGATATAGAACAGTTCGTGACAAGACAAAAATTCCTAAGCTCGCTTTTTCTCTAACATATGTAACTCCACTCATGCTCCTCGTCTCCGTATTGCCTAGCTTCTATCCAGCTCTTCATCTTATTGGCGACCTCACCTGACTCTTCATTATCAGCTAAGCCGCAGTCAACCATCTTGCCCTTCCAGCTGATCTTTCGCACGGGGCTAACGACGGCTGCCGTGCCTGCACCGAAGACTTCGATCAAGCGCCCGTCTAGCGACGCCTCGTGCAGCTGCGGCATCGTGATCTTGCGTTCCGAGATCAACCACCCTTCAGGTGCAAGCTTCTCGTGCGCAAGGCTTAGGATGGAGTCGCGCGTTATGCCGCCTAGGATGGTGCCGTCTAGGGGCGCGGTGATAAGCTCCTTCTGGCCCGTCTCCTTATTGCGGATGGCCACGAATAGGTTCATAGTACCAACTTCGGTCACGTATTCCTCGGGTCCGAATAGCCATAGGTTCTGTTGGAATCCGCGGGAAGCAGCTTCCATTTGAGGCACAATGCAAGGCGCGTAGTTGGCGCCAAGCTTCTTGTCGCCTACGCCGCCGGGCCAAGCTCGTACGGCGTAGTCGGTGGCCTCGAGCGACACGGCCTTGAAGCCGGTGGGGTAGTAGGGACCCACGGGCGACGCTATGACGAAAAGTAGAGCCGAGCCCGGCGCGCCGATGCCCAGGGTCTTCTGCGTGCCGATGAGCGTCGGGCGTAGGTATAGGGAGTAGCCGCGACCGTCGGGAATGAAACGCTCATCAAGCTTAACGAACTTAGCAATCAGATCGATCAGGCCAGTAGGGCCGAAGGTGGGAAGAGCGATGCGGGCGGCGGACTTGTTGAAGCGCTCCATGTTCTTGTCGGGGCGGAACAATCGTATCTGGCCCTTATTATCGCGATACGCCTTCATACCCTCGAAGCACTCGAAAGCATAGTGGAAGACGCAAGTGGCGGGATCGAGGGAGAGGTTTTGGTAGGGCTGAATGGTGGGCGCAAGCCAGCCGCCATTCTTATCCCATTCTATCGTCAACATATGATCTGCGAGCGTTGACAATGGCACAAGTTAGCATACTGTCCATCTGAGTCGTAGTATAGTATAGGGAGATACAGAGATCAGCAGGACGAGGAGTTAGGCGTACCTGTAAACTCCCTTCCGAAGACGAGTTCTGAGGGGTCCTTGGGAGTCTTGGGCGACTGCGTCTTAGTAATAGATAACTTTGTAGGATCTATATCCAGAGGTTTTGCTACTGAGGCTGCCTCGGGCTGGATGCTGTACCACCTGGATGGGCGCTGCCATGCGGGCAATGCATAGGAAGAGCGCGTGGGGGGAGTTCTTAGAGCTCTCCCGCACCGCGGAAGAAGTTGTCGAAGCATTGGCGAATAGAGAGTACCTAGTTAGTATACGATAATCCAGGTTTGGACCTTGGTTTGTAGCCGAATTTCTAGATCAGACCTGGTGTTGCTACGAAACAGGAGACAGGAAACAGGAAACAGAAAAGAGACAGGAACAGAGAAAGATTATGTATCTTGAAAATGGGATCAGTTAGATCCGATTGTATAATCTGCTTCCTTTGACTCAATGCTCTATGGACGGACCCGAACGATAGCAGCTAAAATAACCCCAGTTTCCCTTTATAACCTTGCAAACTAACAACAACCATGACCCGACTCAATGGGAAGAAAAAAAGAATGTACGGTAAGAGATGTAAGCGATCTCGGAGGAGTCTAGCGTAGTTACATGTACGCCCTAAATAATAAATAATGCATTAACGGACAAGACGGGACCAATGGCAAGCGCGTTTTTAAATCCGATTTACAGCTGTTGTCTCTTTGGTACATAGTATGTATTTGTGGCGTAAAAGGTAAAAGGGAAGGGTCGGGTCTAGATGGGAAATAATCGCACCTAGCACCGCCACTGAGGCAGCAAGGGACCCCTGACCTAGGTAGTGTTAGACAAGAGCTTACATATGTAGGCTTGGCATTTGAATTTGTAGATTTTACACATGCAGATAAACTCTATCGAATAAATATAAGAAACAGCCTCGTGTTTACAACCGCCCACGTACGTCATTTTTAAGTACAGACAGCAACGAGGTTCTTTCATCCAAACTAACTTAGGAAAGGGGGAACATCTCGTCCATTCTATCTCATACGACCCGTCGAACCCATTGCCGATTAGCTGGAGGAGGAACACGATCGCCATCCTGGAGGGATTAGGTATTGGGGGAGCGTGGGATCGCAGACGCATGTTTATCTCTATGCGCGGCGCTACAATATGATGGTTGCTAGTCGTCGCATAGCACGCCGTCGCCAACCATGTTCTCCTCGCTGAAGAGCTTCACTTCTCATATCAACTCCAACTATTCCATTTCGCAAACCATAACCTCCACAGCCGGCCCGTGGAAGATATACGATGCGAAGAAGAAATCGACAGGCAAGACGTATTCCGTCTTTGTCTTCGAGAGGAAGTCGCTTGAGTCGCACGGGGGCTCGCTCGGCCGGTCGGGTGCAGCCGCCTTTAAGCGCTCCGTAGACGAGGTGGTGGAGCGCCTGAAGAAAGAAGCTTCGTCGCTTGCTAGACTGCGCCACCCGAGCGTCCTGGAACTAGTCGAGCCCGTGGAGGAAACTAGGGGAGGTCTTCAGTTCGTTACCGAGCCGGTGACTACGTCGTTAGCAAGCCTCTTACAAGAGAAGGATGAACAGGAGAGAGTGAGCGGCGTAGGGGGCCGGTCGAGCCGATATGTTACTGAAGACTCGGGCGGTACTAGACGGAGGCGGGATCTAGAAATCGACGAGCTTGAGATACAGAAGGGATTGCTCCAAATCAGCAAGGCCTTAGAGTTCCTACACGAGAATGCCGGACTCGTCCATGCCAATCTCACCCCGGATGCTGTACTAATCAATTCTAAGGTCAGTTCGGACACTTCTCATTGGCTCTGAGAACAGCCTTGGACAGTCTTTCAAACCCTGTCTCGGTCCCTCTAACCGAAGTTATCGTCGTGCTTCCTTATGAATCATGAAACGATATTCAAGGTGTATCTTGCTAACGAGACGATAGTCCGATTGGAAAGTCAGCGGGCTTGCTTTCTGTAGCCCACCAGAAGGCTCATCAAAGCCTACTTCAGTTCAGCCTATCAGCCTCTCGGAAGCTCTCAACTTAGATCCCAGGCTACCACGACACGTACAGATCAATCTTGATTATACTTCGCCTGATTTTGTCCTCGATAATAATCTCACCACATCAGCTGACATGTTCTCATTGGGCCTTCTATGTGTCGCATTATACAATTCACCTCATCGATCTCCCATAGAAAGTAGTGGGAGTATATCTGCATATAAGAGACTGTTCACATCATCTTCGACGGTTCCGTCATCTGGGAATGGCTTCTTGTCTAAGAGACCGCTACCAAGGGACCTTTCGGCCCACGTACTACCCCGATTAATTGCACGGCGTCCCGCGCAGCGCATGACAGCCCGAGAATTTCAAGAGAGCGAATATTTTGACAACATCCTCGTTTCCACGATCCGATTCCTCGACGCTTTCCCGGCTAAAACTCCGAACGAGAAAGCTCAATTCATGAGAGGTCTTAATAAAGTCCTACCGTCCTTCCCCAAGTCGGTTATGGAGAAGAAAGTACTACCAGCACTATTGGAAGAACTCAAAGACAAGGACTTGTTGTCTCTCATCCTTCAGAATGTCTTCAAGATTATGGATCTGCTGCCATCGTCGAGGCGAGCCTTCTCGGAGAAGATACGGCCAAGGATTAAAGAGATATTCGTCGTCAATGCTAAGCAATTACAAGAGAAGGATCCAGCTAGGGACGCTGGATTGATGGTTGTTTTGGAAAATCTCAACCAAATTGCTGGGAACTCTTCTGGCAAAGAGTTTAAAGACGGTAAGCCTGTATTTCCTTTATCAATTGTCATAGTCGGCCGACATAACCTTATATTTGCCATACCATTCCTGCTTATGTTGTTACGTACCACGATTCAATGCCCACAACGCGTTATGTGATGAGTATAGAATACCTTCGCATGATTAAGTATAGCGAGGTTTTGAGACAACATTGATGTTATTTAGGTGTATATATTAGAGTCGTACGTTTGTTGTCAAGCTAACAATGTTACATAGATGTCCTACCGATTGTTTTAGTAGCTATCGAGTCCCCGACGCCTTCGCTCGTCGATGCTGCCCTACGTGGTTTGCCAGTCATATTACCAGTTTTAGACTTTAGTACTATTAAGAATGAGTTGTTCCCTATAGTCGCTGCCGTCTTCAGCAAAACCAGCAGCTTAGCCATCAAGGTCCGCGGATGTCGAGCTTTCGTCATTCTTTGCGGCGGCACGAACGAATCGTCGTCAGCGGACGACGGGCTTGACGGGATAAGCCCCGAGAAGAAAAAGGCGTCTTCATCCAGCGCTCTAGACAAGTACACAATGCAAGAAAAGATCATTCCGCTTATCAAAGCTATCAAAACCAAAGAACCCGCAGTTATGATGGCCGCGCTAGACGTACTACGAGTTGTGGGTGAAAACGCGGATGCTGACTTCGTAGCCATGGACATCTTGCCCATCTTGTGGGGAATGAGTTTAGGACCCTTGTTAGACCTCAAACAATTTCGGTCTTTCATGGACTTAATCAAGTCGCTTTCAAGGAAGGTTGAAGAAGAGCAAATGAAGAAGTTACAGGAGCTTAACGTCGTGAACGGAGGAAGAGCGGTGACTCCTACTGACGATTTCATGGGATTTGGGGGCGTTAGTGGAACAACGTTTGATTCAACGAACGGGGCCACGGAGGATGATTTCGAGCGGCTGGTGAAAGGGAAATCTGGACCGAGCACGAGTACGAATGACACAATGGATGCAAATTGGGACGCGACCCCAGCGGCAGCAACAGTCATCTCACCACCGATCAAATCACCACAATTTTCTTGGTCGACACCAAGTCCTACTTCTAGTGGTGGTAATGGGTCCAGTCACTTCGGACCTCCCAAACCCCAACCTTCTTTCCGAACAGTTACGCCAGATCTCAATTCATTTGGCACTCTAACACCTTCATCTACCCAATATTCTCAGCCTTTACAACCGTCTATGGGTAGTGCAACCAAGACCACGTCAACTATACCCCAGAATCCTTCTACCACAGTCAACTGGTCCACCTCGACAGCAGCGACACCTAATCCTTGGGCTTCAGCCTCATCCAATCCCATATCTCCGTCTGCTTCATCTTTCGGCAATGTGGCCACAGGGATGTCAAATTTGAACCTTGGTCAACCAAGGCCGACGACGAGCCAATCTTCATTCTCTCTTCCTCCACCACCGTCTAGTGGAGGCAGTACGCCCTCGGGGTTCAGCCTACCTCCGCCGCCAGGAGGTCCCCAGAGGCAGAGTTCGACACTATCGTCATTTGCCCAACCGTCCGGTGGTTTCGGGGGCTTATCTCATCAGCCAGCTGGAAGCATGAACAGTATGATGAACTCGGGATCAGGAGGCATGAACAGAAGTACGAGCAACATGAGCAGTATGATGGGCACTATGAAGCCTATGGCACCAAGCCAGTCCACCTCGCAACCACAGCAGCAACAGCAACAATCCCAGGGGTCGGGTTTGGATAAGTACGAGAGTTTAATATAGGCACACTAGAAGGAAATGTAACTCATACCATCCGCGCTATCAGTAGGAGCGCTCTACGTTTTATGTCAGGTTGGTCATATATGTAGCGTTCGGACCAGAATGCAAATCCCGTAATTAGATGTGTCGGCGCGGATACCCGGATAATTGATCTATTTCAAGGGCATCCAATACAGTCTTATATTAATGTGATGGGCGGCGGCTTTCGAAGACTGGATACAGGAATCATAGTAATTTCGTTCTGGGATATAGCTATTTAAGCCGTCTTACTCGTAGTAGTGTTTGTGGAAAGAATGGTGTCTAGTCAATGGTTTATGCTTGAGGGGTACGGCTAATGATAGTCATGACCGTGTCACGGATATAAATTACCAGCGAAATATTAGACAATAAGCAGCCCGTTCTATAAGTCTCTTCCAGAGATAAACTTGATAATATGCACTATTAACTTAGGCACATTTCGGTAGCCCTTCATTCACTCCAGACTTAGAGTTGCATAGCGTACATTATCTACTTATATACAGACAAAAGAAATTCTACAGTGAATGCCTCTTGAGCCTATACTGAAACCCGCATATAAGTCAAGTTAAGCGCTTTTTATCCCACCTCTCCAGTTACCACGTTGCTCCTATTCAGTATTTGAACTCATTGGGTACCTAAGCCATCAATAAATAGTCTTTCTATGATTTACCAGATGCCTTGTTAGCAAGGTCGCTGTTAACTCGATGACAATAGGAGGAGAGAAGTGAACCTAGCTAGTTTAAAATGAAATGCCCAGCTATACGAGCCGGTTGGACTAATTATGACGATAGATCAGTTGAGCGCGACAGGCTAAGCATAGCAAAATAAAAGGCTTACAGCACGCGCCGCTATGTACGATGCATCCCCCTTCCTTATGGAAGTTCCACGCGGGTACTAATTGCATACTACTTACAGTATGGATATCATTCCCTCCCCTCAACTTGGCTTCCCAAAAGAGCTCCAATGCTAAGTCTTGCCCCTCAGGATCTGGTCGTTCAAGACAACTAACTACCTATGCAGGTAGCCCATGCAAACGAGACAGGAACTACATACCTATCCTATCCAACTTTAGCTAAATAAACAACGGTCTAATCTAGACACATATTCGATGTTTTAGGAGTAGGTACCTACCTACCTATACAGCAAGGGAGCAAGTCAGACCTACCGAGTCACCCACCGTTAGATAGCACGCTCAATGGGACGATGGCCAGCGACTAAACCTAAGAACGGCGGGTTGATGTCGCAGATCCACGACAGGCCATGTTTCAGCAACTCCCACGGCAAGCTGGTAAATTGGAGAAGACGGGCCGTGCTGGCAGGCAGGCAGGCAGGCAGACGGCGTGACGTGGCTTGGCTTGGTTTACACCGCAGCAGCGCCAATGTCTAGGAGCAGAAAAGGAAAAAGAAAAAGAAAAGAAAAAGAAAAGGCGGCTTGGTCTAGAGTCTCTGGACCCATTGAAAGCCCCGTTGAGACAATTGGCGTCGAGTGGGAATAGACTATAGGAATAGTTCAGTCATTTGGCTGTCATAGTTGAGCCATTGCTCAATAATATTACTTTATTACTTGATAATACGAGCACATCCATCCATCCATCACATCTCGCCGCGCACCAACATGTACGTACGTATGTCAGTCAGTACCTACGTTCATACTGTATTGTATATATGTGTGTGTGTGTCATGGTAAATTTTATTAGAAGTCATCGCGATGTTATAGACGTGCCTAACTGACCGACTAGGTACCTGTCTACCTCATTTCTATGTAGTAGATTAATTCCCCTTGCTGTCGACAGGCAAACCCCTCTGCAGACTTGACCTATCATGTAGTTTCCCATCTCCTTCCTCCCCCTCCCTTGTCAAAGGCAACGTACCGTGAAATTGCAGCGTCGATTAAAAAACGCCATCTTCTCAATAGCGAAATTGCACAATTAACCTGGACCGTGCCGAGGTATACCTCGACGGCACGTCCTCTCCTCGACGGTCCGTCTGCATAATGCTGTGAGACCGAAAATCGGAGTGCGTTATGCGATCTTCCCCCGTCGTATACCTGCATCTATTACTCTATCTGGCGGTGATTCAAGCGCAAATTTTACTCGGTATCGTCTGCCAGGTATGCACGGGAAGTGTTATTGGTATTGTAGGTTGGACGACGGAAATTCCGGAAATAAAACCCATTTTAAAGACAAGAGATGGAAATGGAGAAAAAAAAGAGGGTCAAAAGAGAAAAGCCCAGAAACGCCTTGCTGTAAAGGAATTAAATGCCATCCCCCAGGGATATGCCACCCTTGTGCCGCGAATGTGATCAGTGTGATTAGTTGACATCAAGTAGTTAGTCGTGATTATGGTTGTGAAGGCGAGTGGATTTGCTTCATAGTCTCAGAGATGTTGTCATGGCTCTGGTTTCGGTTTCAGTTTCGGTTCTAGTTTTGATGAATCTTCAGGCTTAACCACCGTAAAAACGTGTCGACTCTTGTAGCCCTCTTCTAGCTTGACGTCGATCTTTTGATCAGGATTCACCATAGGGTGGGTAAGATTCCAACCCGCGCGACGACATAGTTCTGCAACGATGACGTCGCAGTCGCCGAGGAGGTCGATATCGAAATTGATGTGGCTGACAGGCGTGCGCGAGATATATATTTGCGGGATATGCGGCGGCAGGTAAGGCACAACTTCAGAGACAGGTGCAACTTTGAGCGAGGTGCCAATTACGATGACCAGATCGACGCGGTCACGGTCGTGCTTAACTAACCGCTGGCTGAACTCATCCGGCAGCTCCTCGCCAAAGAAAGTAATGTCTGGTTTCATGACGCCAGCGGCGGGGATATCGTATTGGCCGTCGTCGTCGTCATCGTCGTCCGTGCTCCTACGCCGGGTCTTCTTGCCGGTAGATTTGTTGTAAGATCGTTTGCGCTTCATCGAACCGTTAGTCCGGAGCGCATTGATACACTTGATGCATCGTGGTATATTTCCAGCTTTGATGTCGGCAAAGAGGCTATCACCTTGGACTTTGTAGCCACATTTCTGACAGGTAGCAGTTGCGAATGAGCCGTGGCACTGGACGAGCTTGTCTGGTCTAATACCCGCGTTTGCTTCGATGTTATCAATGTTTTGCGAGTAATTCGTCAGAAGCTTGCCTTCGTCCTGGAGCTTAGCGATGAAAGCGTGAGTTGGTGAGTACAACCCCTTAGTCTCGGGAAGAATATCCTTTGCCACCGAGTAAAAGATGGTCGGGTCTTCGCGGAAGATATCTATGTTAAAGACTTCTTGAGGGTCGCTGATCCCTAAACCGAGCTTCTCGAGTTGCGAATAGAGACCAGTTTCTTTTGAGCGAAAATCGGGAATTCCGAGCGACGTAGAAATTCCAGCTCCGGTCAAGACGACGATGTTTCGCGATGCTTTTAGCAGAGCCACAGCGTCGTCGATTGTGTTATACGTGGGAAGCTTGGCACGCTTAACCAACTCGCGCGTCATGGCCAAAGTAAGTAACCCGAAGTAAGCATGATCTGGAAGCCCATCGAGGAATGCAGGCGGCCGTATCCCAAAGGCCGTCAGTAATTTCTTGACTGTAATTGTACCAGAGTCAACTGTGCGCTTGCAGAACTCTTGCGGTCCAACAGCTCGTAACTGTTGGCGGTACTGCACAGCCTGTTCTGGCGTGACAGCGTCAACTATAAGGCCACGTTAGAATAAATTGTAAAACAACCGAGAGAGTTAAGTAATAAGAGACAGTAATAAGAGAAAGTAAAAAGGGGAAAGTAAAGTAAATATGTAATTACCATCGTTAGTGAACCTATCCTCAGAGATGTCTTCGATGACATCTTCAAAAAGCGACTCGGTCTCCCACGAATCGCTGAGATCGTTGATTCGCTCCTCGAGCTCGTTGCGTGCATGGCCATGCGGTCTCACGTTAAGATGGCCGACGACTTGGTCATCGGCAACTTCAACTCGGACTTTGGGAGGTTCCGACTCCTTCACGGGCCAATTCTTACGAGGTCGGCCGACAGGACGCTTTGCTTTCATCGCGTTTGTTATAGTTGCTGTTGGGATAAGTGGGCGTTGAGTGATGAGATGAGATGAGATGAGATAAAATCAAATCAAATCAAATAGCAACTAATAGCGAGAAAGAGTCAATTGCATATGATAACTGATGACCGACGACCAAATGGGCAAATCGGAATCTGGGTCTGTCTAATGAGTCGGTTTAATAAGATTAGGCGGGCCTAATTGATCGACTGCCTAGTAATTAATCAATCAACAGGAATTTTGCGCGGTTGAATGACGAAGTAAATTGGTTCCGTGAAATGTCTTTGGAGGGGGGAAGAACAAGAGGAACAAGAGGAACGAGAAGAAGAAAAATGATTAGTGGGAAGGGATGAGGTAAAAGAGAAAGAAGAAACAAGACAAGTTTAACCCTGGAGGAAATATGGTTTGAGAAACTACCTATCCTAGCCAGATACTAGGTGCCGGGGATGGTCAACGCGTCTTGTGTGTGTTATGTGTTGTGGTATATTGTGTGGTGTTATTTGGGAATTTGAGAATCTGGGAATTTGGGAATTTGGGAATTTGGGAATTTGGGAATTCGGGTCGGGGGGGGGGGGGGGGAATTAGAACAGGTAGCAGTGGTTAGCTGTAGAGGTAATAAGAAAATAAGAAAATGAGAAAATAAGAAAATAAGAAAATGAGAAAATAAGAAAATAAGAAACCACCTACATACCAAAAGCGTACCTAACCTAACCTAACGTACCAACCACTATGATTCATGAAGGACTGGGCGCTTCTTGGAATTTCCGAATTTCGTAAGGGACCTTAACTACTCGGTACGAATTTAAGAAATTTATTGTTCCGTACAAGAAGAAGACCCGCACAAGTTAAAATATCGACGTAGTAGTTTTGAGGAACTTAATTCCCTCTTATAATTATCGATGCAGGTTGGGTAGGGGAGGGGAGGGGAGGTGAGGTGAGGTAAGGTGAGGGAAGAGCAGAAAGTCGTGTAAAGAAAATTAAAAGCTAGGGAAAGATGCGACAAGGAGATAGTCACCATGCGTAAGAAAGAGAAGGAGGGAAAAAACGATGAAAACCGATGAGTTTGAAACTTCAAGAATGATAAAGTCTAGTACTAAGCGAAGATGCTGATAGGCTACAAGGGGACAGTGTGCCACCCATATTAATTGTAAGAGTATGATAGGGGGGGCCATCTCTCACTCCGGTCTAGAACGGGGGGTTTTTAAAATACTTTCCCTCTTTTTATTTTTAATTATTTTTAATCCTGTTCTCTATTTTGCTCTAGTTATCTTTACTCTGTCTACCTAATTCTTGCTTGTTTGCCGCATTTCCCACATTTCCCACAATGTCCACAATGTCCACAATGTCCACAATGTCGAGGCTTGTACATAGTGTACTAGGTTAACCTAAATGTTTGCCCTGTCTCCTCGGTCACTAGTCGTCTATGAAGGTAGGTAACTATCATCCGAGGCGAATTGTGTATCCGTCCTATTAGACTACCATTCATAGAGTCATATTCCCATCGTAGTCACTTACATAGTAGAAACACAGGCGCTATATTCATCCGATTCATCGCTACGGCCCGGGAAAGATGGGGGAACATAATTCCAAGTCCTTCGATGAAAGCCCGAGGTATGCCAAGACTCTTAAGTTCCCGCAACTCCGGATAACTCTCATCTATTAATACCGATTCCCGCCTATTATACAATTCAAATTGCGCTCCGTGTTCCAATCATAAAACAAGAAAATTAATTTTCTATCAAACCAACCATGCTACGGATTATTGCTGAATACCTACCTAAGGTACCTACTCTGAATATGTCGTTTGTAAGTTTCGATGCCACCGCGAGGAGGATTCTAGGCCTTACCTGTTTGAAAACCCCCGCGGCGAAGGTCACAGATGTAAATCTAATTACCGCTAGTATAACTCTTGTTACTGGGTTAGTATTCTATCGCGACCCATCGCACACAATTATTCTGCTTCTGCCTTAAAAATCCATCTTCATTCGCTATGCAGTTCTATGCTGCTACTGGCTGTACTTTACGCTTACCATTACCAAAAACCCCAAGTTTCTACGAGTTGCCTAATTAGGAAATTTGTTCAACTGTCTGTAATCTGGGGAGGTATGTATGAGGCAATCTCGAGAAGAGGTAATGCCTTGAGCGCAAAATAATGATGGTGATAATAATAATAATAATAATAATAAATATATATATATATATATATATATATATATATAATAAATATAACGATAGAGGATCAGACGGGCGCCACGTGGTAAGGGAATCAGCAGATATGCTACCCCACAATCTCAATTTACCTCAAGAAGCTAGTCGTGAACAATGCCATGCCATCCATCGTTTGACCCTAACACCTAAGACTGATTGATATGTAGTTGCCATCCACCGCCAGCAACCGAGAACCCAAGTAATTCGCAACGAGCGGGAGAATTCATCACCTCGAATTCATTTTCGCTTAACGTGGTTCCGAGCAGAAAATCCAATGCTAACAATCGCCATCATTAGGTTGTCTCCTTTTAGAGTCTTCAAAGTCTAAAGTTCCCAAACCATGCCCATGCTATCTATTACATACCGTCATCATCTATCCATCTCGACCCAAGGCCTGGCTCAGTCTGACACCACTAGAGAAAAATCCATGGTTGGTGCCTAATCCTGGTTCGCAGCTTTGATTGTCGTGAAAATATCACCTTGTTTTCAACTCCCTGCCTGAAGTAGCTGATAGTCGGTCAGTTAATGCGTGTGTATTCGCTATCATGTTTGACTAAATGTAACAGAGACGTACCCAAGTCAATACAAATCCTCGTTGCAGAAATAAACGGAATGAATAACAACATCATACCACAGACAGAGAGATCATGACTTGGAGATTAATTACTAGTTAGTTCAATACGATCTGGTAGAGTTATCTTCAAATCTTCATGTTTTTATGCTATGCGTTTATCAGAAGTATCGCATACTTAAGAGTCATCATCAAGAAACAACCCCCTTTCTTAACAGATCAACCACAGCCCGTCGAATCTCCTTCAATTTAAAGGGTTACATACATACATACATACGATATTCCCTCTTGCCACCCCCCGAGAAATTCCTCCGGACGCCCAGTAACAATCGCATGATTTAGAATTACGTATCGCTACATACAAGAGCCTGCTCGCCGTCGCACAACGCAGAGGCAGTGCGCAGCCCCCCCCTAATTGTCCAATATATTATCATATATATTATCATATACATATACATATACATGCACGTTCCGCCCTATTAACACCCAGGACATCCGTACCTATTCTCCGAAACCCATATTTACATTTCCTTCTTTCCAGTT